TATTTTTATTGCTTTCTGGGTAATGTTCCTTTTTTTTTGATTTTGGCAATCTTTACCTTTATAGTGGCTCAAAGTTCATTTGTAAAGATAAAAGGACAAATAGATGACATGATATAGCAAGTACTAGAGATAGAAAAGACAGAAAATGGTACTTGTATCTTACAGCTTCATTCTTTTCAGAAAAGTAGTTAGTTATATGTTCTGCCAAGAATGGCAGTGTTCACATAAATTAGGAATTAAAGCTTTTTTTTTTATTTTTTATTTTTTATTTTAAAGAGTAAAAGAAGGATAACATAGTAATAGGGGGGCTTACCAAATTACAGACAAAGTGGTAGGAAATTATCAGTGGTTGTTGTTTTATATATTGTTACCTACAAGATAGTTTCTCAGGAAAACAAATAGACAAATAATAGTGAGCTACAGACAGAAGTGGTAGGTTATTCTCAATGATTGTTGTACTATGATATCTTCAGAGTGATTTCTAAAGAAAACAAGTAGAGCTATACATGAGCGACCAACTGAATATTCATTGACTGTTCTCAATGGTTGTTTTGGGAAACACATAGTAATAAACATACATCCATTTACAAAATAGCATAGGAACAATACAAACATTACAGTTATGGACAGATTAGTAGGAATATATCAGTGGCTGCTGTAATATATGGTGATATCTTCAAAGTGGTTTCTCAGGAAGACAGAGATACGCAAGAAAGATCTAACAAGTAGTTACAGCCTAAGGGTTGTCAAAAATAGCGTATTACCTCCTCAGCAGTGACTCCTTTCACTGAGGTGTGACGGCTGGAAGGAAGGCCAAGATTGAAAAGAAGGACCGAGAGACTTGCACCTGTGTCTAGCAACAGGCTGTTTTCTTTTTCCTCTATAGTCATGATTACCCGGGGCTCCTCGATGGAGATGACAGTCTGGCCAGAGGGAGAAGGCAGACCATGCCCCAGGCCCCCTCATTCCTGTTAGACTAACCGGTAGGATGGGTCTGAGCTCTGGGGCCTCCACCTCAGAGGGCAGACTGATCTCCGGTGATCACCTTTACATTCAGGGCATGGCCGAGGGGGCTTCTTAGGACAGTTCCTCTTGAGGTGGCCTGGCTTTTAAGAGTGGTGGCAGATGAATGTAGTTGTCGAGTTCTTCTTGGGGCCCCAAAAATCAGACTTGGGGTCTGTTTCTCTTGGTGCTGCAGCAAAAGCAGCTGCCTTTTCTCTGCCTCTTTGTTTTCTCTCCTTGGCCTCCTCCTCGTCATGGCTATAGGATACTGAGGAGGCAATCCTTACTAACATCTCAAGCTTGTAAGAAGAAAATTTAAAATTATCCTTGCTCCTCCCAGGGAAAGTGTAGTAAGAGGTCATTGTAAGACTGGTAGATCTATTGCTGAAGATAAGAGATGAATGCCCTGAGGGCAGAGCACGGGTCATCTGGAATACAAAAGCAGACTGTGAGTCAGCTCTGGCTGGGTAGGAGCACTGCAGAGACTGACTGTATTTAGACCTCTCTGAAAGTAGTAGCAAAAGCACTGATAAAATTGCTTACTGTTGCTAGGCACCAGAGAATGAATTTCACATACTTAACAGGAACCCAGCTATTGGCTGTAAAACGTGAATCAGGATTTCAGTCTCCTTTCACAATGTGGAACAGTGTTTTTTCCCTCCTTGAAACAGATTGCCATGTAAGAAGATTCTTACTGGGTATCTCTAGGGCTACCAACAAAATGTTACTTGAGCCTATTTTCTTTGGCTCCTATAAATGTAGGCAGCACCTTTTTAAATACAAACTAGGCATTGTCTTATTAGATAAATGTTACTACTGAGCATCTTTTTGTTTTTTATGTGCATTAAGAACATACTGGCTGGCCGTGGTAGCACACACCTGTAATCTGAGGCAGGAGGATCACCTCAAGGTTTAGGCCAGCCTGGAGTACATGGTGAGTTCAAGGTCAGCTTGAACTACATAGTGAGACCCTGCCTCAAAAAACATAAGTAAATAAATAAATGTACAAAAAAAAAAAAAAGAATATACTATATTTTTTTCCTTTCTATGGGCACTATAATTGAACTTGGCCTTGTGGTTTAATCTTACGTAGCAGAAATACGAAACAGAAACAGCTGTCACATCAAGTGTGCCATGTATTTTGTATGTCAGAGGTAAAAGGGAAGGTATGTTTTAATTTTGATAGCACCGCTCTGCGAATTGTTCTTGACCCATGGTCCCAAGATAAGAAGGTGGTTCTTCTCTTCCTCAGGCTATGTGTCCCATCCTTTCTTGATCTGTGAGGTTGGACAGACAGGAGGTTTGGTGTTTTCCAAAAGGGTTTGACCCCAGCCCCAGGGGGTGTGATCTCACAGGCCAGATTTCTGCTTGGAATGAGGAGAAAGACTTTAGGCTGGAAGGGATTTTTAGAATTGCTTCACTGTCCACTCCACGTTTCTGCCACCACCACTGTCTGTGCTACACACACATCCAAAGAAATGAAGTTTTCAGAGGTGATTCACACTAAATTCGTTTTAAGAACATATGCCTCCCAAGGCAGAGTCCTGAACATCTTTGGAATTTACATTTAGGTTCATAGCACCTCCAGTTCTCTCCATATGATATTTGTTTATGTAACTGGGTGGTCTATTCTGATAGTATTTTTAAAACAAAAGAAATGAGTTGCAAAGAGTTGATGCTTACAGTTAGAGACACTTAATGACTTATGGTTGAAATGGCACTCATGTACAGAAAAAGAAGTTAAGGCCCTGTGAGGTATTCTCTGACAGTGACAGTTGCCTTCACTCTCACTCACTGCATGCCTCTCTGTTAAAGCAACCCATTTTATCCTGTGGATTGTTGCAGGAATATCTAGCTATCAGTCCTTTTCCTGAAGATTGCATTCTGCTCTCTGTGAGTACCATGCTGTAATTACACTGAACTTCAGCATGCCAAGGACTCACCTGCTTTTTATTTTTTTATTTTTTATTTTTTATTTTTTTATTTTTTGAGACAGCTTCTTACTATGTAGTCCAGGTTGGTCTGAACTCAGTATGTAGCCCTGGTGGTCTCAAACTTGTGGCAATCCTCCTGCCTTACGTGCTGGGATTACAGGTGTGGGCCACCATATCCTGCTGTCACATTTTTAAAAATTTGGTCTACTAGATAAGCATTATTGCATTCTTTTGTATATGAAAACAAAGTACTGCCCAACTCATTAAAACATATGAGCACCTAATTTTTTATTAGTGTTGGTTATTGTTTCACTAAAAAGTTTGCAATGCATTGAATTGGGTACACATTTTTAAAATGTTAAATTTTTTTAAATTAACTGAGTCTGAATTATCCAGTTAGTAGAATTATTCCTGTGGTATCTATGTTCCTTCATTTACCTTTTCTATTTTTAATGAACATGATTGTTCAATTAATTCAAAATTTAAAAGGGTTAGGGGCAGCTAGTTACTGGAGTTCGGCTCTGCCATTAAGTGTAACAAATTGGTTGTTGCTTACCTAGGCCTTTTTAACCCTGTCTTATGGTCACACATAAGTGAGATTTTCAATCTAGGTGGCTTGATCTAAGATTTGAGATTTTAATTTTAAGGTTATGTTGTATCATAATATGATTTGTAAAAATATGAAGGGAGTCACAGGAAAGTTGTGAAATAGTGGACAAGATTTTATTGGACTAGAATAATTAGTATGGTTAAAATAAGGAACAAAAGAAATGGAGGTAGGAAGGCTGTTAGTCATTATTAAATTATTCTATTTTTTCATGTGTATCTAAACCATTCTCATGTTCTCACTCTTGAAATAACATTAAAAAATAATGTGTAGGTGAAAAAAGTTTGGAGTAAAGTGATATTAAGTCAGAAAATTCTCCTTAATTTCTCTGTTACAGCTTTATCTGTATCTGGTCTTTACCTGTCTTTTGTCCCTTAGATGTAATTATCTGAAATATTTTAAAATTTCTCAGGATTCTAATTTTTAAGCTTCATATCTGTGTTCTGTTGGATATGGGAAAGTAAGTAGAGCCTGGAGACAATAAGATCTGTATTAGTAAGGTTTCTTTTTGCTTGGACAAAATACCTGACACCTGAAACTTAATGGAGGGGCAATTATTTGGCTCACAGTTTAGTGTGGTTCAGTCCATGGTTGGCTGCCCCAAGGCAGACATTGAATGGTGGAAGGACCTGGCAGAGGAAGGATGCTCAGCTCATGGCAGCCAGGAAATAGAGGGAGGTCGGAGCCAGGGACAAGAACACACCATGCCAGCGACCTACCTCTCTGATTAGGCCCACCTCCAGCACATCTGACTTTCCAGGGACATTTTAGATGTAAACCATAACAGAATCTAAGCATAGACCTTGTGTAGGAACAGTAAGGAGTGGCTTATTCATCCTGCAGTGGTGAGAGTACTAGACAGGAACTACTTTAGATGGAATTGTACTTCTTCATTCTTTCCCTGTATCTTTAGGTGTTTCACAAATTTATTTTCTAATTTAAACTTCAATGATAACTATGGTTCACATTTTTATGAATATTAGTATCTTTAAAAAAGTAACTCCATGAAGGATTTATCACCTGGGATTCCTATTTTACTTTTATTTATTTATTTATTTATTTATTTATTTTTTTGGTAAAATATACCAGTGCTGTAGTAGTTGTGTACATGTTTTAAAATAAAGAAATCCCTAGGGTCATGGTTTCCAAATGTCAAATTCGTCTTTAGACGGATTTTTGAGTTCCACTTGAGTCTCACTCTCATATTTATGATTTAGTAACCCTGGGGTGAAGCCCCTGACTTTATATTTCTAACAAGTTCCCAGTACTGCCACTCCTTAATACTGCTGCTCTTTAAACTGAATTTTGAGAGCCACTGCAATACAGTATTGATTCCAGAAGTTTGAGACAGAGCTAAATCTGATCTGTGTCAGATGAACGCTGAGTAGCTTGTAGCTCAGAGTAGAGCAGCAGCAGTGATCTTTTAATGTAGTGTTTGTCTTTTACTTTTTTCACAGATTGGTGCTTATGATCAGCAAATATGGGAAAAATCTGTTGAACAGAGAGAAATCAAGGTAACAAAGTATTTCATGCTATCCTAAAACATAATTCTATAAATTTATTAATCACATTTCATTTAATGCCCTTCCACATACTTTCAAGATAAAAATTTATATTCTTCTAAATTTTTAAATAAAGTGGTAAACTTTTTCTGATGATCTAGTCATGTGTCTTCTAAGTTTTTTCCTTGTGAGTGTCTTTCCATTCTCTTAAAGTTCAGTTTCTAATGGTTATTTTCTTGTCAGCTTTTTTCCTTTTTCACTTGTCGCCTTATACTTCTAGTTTGCTTTTCCTCCCCTTTGATGCTGTCGCTGCTCTGTGCAGTTTATTAAGCTGGTAAGTGTTGAGGCTCTCCTGTGTGCGTGGTCCCTGCAGATGCTGCTCTCTTAATTGACATCTGCTTTCTGGTGCTACTAACAGAGTGACTTGGATGCACAGTCTCTGAGCCGTTGGCCAAAGCCTTCCGGACAGTAAAACATTAATGAAAGTGTTTTTACCACAGGGGTGAGATCATTCTCACAGGCTACTTTGCTAGCATGAAAACCATTTTTAAACTACATTTGTGTTTCTTAGCACTTTTCTGGTAATAGGGTTTATGTTTTTTTTTTTTCATTTGCATAGATACTAATCAGTGTGTTCCTGCACGAGCTAAATGTAATCTGGGCCCAGATAATATTACTTTAGTTATTTGACATTTTCTGTTTTGTACAGAAAAGTTTGCATTAGATCGAAAACTAGTGTCTATACTATCTGCTAAAAAAAAAATCTGTCAGTGTTTAGACAACTTAGTTATCTGTAGTAAAGAGTAAGACTTGTGACATTTGATTTTAATCTTCAGTTTTATGAAGAATTAATACATTTAACAAAGTTATGATGTTAAGTACAAGATTATGTAGTGAGTTCAGAAATATGAAAGAGGTTGCAGTTTTGTAGAAGAGATACGTAATTCTAAACGAGGTGTAACTTCAGTTAAGAGCTGCATGTGTAAGTCTGTATAGAGGAGTCCAGAGGTAGGTAGCCTTGTAGAGGTTATGGAAGATTTTGTAGGGGGAGAGTTGGAATAGCAAAGAGGTCTAATACTACTTAACAGCTTTTCTCTGACAACTGAAACAACTTCAACTACTAGGCCAGGGCCCTTGAGTTCTCTGGGAGGTCCTGCTACCTATCACGTGGTATATGTGGATGTTTTGTAAAATTTAAAAACCAGAAAATACAGACATAATTTGCTAGATTTTGGAAGCCAGAAATTGCTACATTATTTATATGCTTTCCCCATTTTTAAAAGCACTGTTACTGTAGGAAGTTACTGTAGGGAGGGACTCGGTTAGTTGCTGTGTGGTGCTGTAGGATGACCATAGGGAAAGATAGGACCTATAACTATTTTCTAAAATGTGTCCCCCGTTAAAGGTAATACTATATGAAAGTCACTGAAGTGCTGAGATTTACTTTTGTTATTTTGAATTAAAAGAGTCAGTTTGGTCAGGCACAGTGGCACATGTCTGTAGTCCTAGACACTTGGGGCCCTGAGTCAGGAGGACCATGAGTTGAAGGCCGTGTAGCAAGACTCTCAGTTTAAAAAAAACCACACAAATAGATAAAAAATAAACTGCAAGAATCAATTTGTTGACAAGTCTGAAAAAAAACTTCCATTCTTGTTAAACATTATCATGGAAGCAAATTATAAGGTAAAATAAGGAAAACAGAAAGTGATATTAATGTTAATATTTAATAAAAGCAAAATGTTCTTGTTTAGAGGACAGTGTACCAAATGTATTGAACTTATCCTATATAATTAGTTATCTCACTGTCAAAGCAGTGAGCAACTACTAAAGAAATAAAGGCATGAAAGTGTTTTTCTTAGAAATGTTATCCTTTGAAGTCCTATAGTGGGTACTGCTAAAGTAAACCTTTTGTAAGATGCAAATCACATTTCCTTAAACTTTTTAGTAATTATAACTAAAAATTTGACTTCATTCTCTGAGCACTTTGGCCAGAATTGAAAAATAAATGCGTAACAAACTTTACCGCTGAGAAAACAACGGACAGAGTTGTAGCCGTCTTTACAAACTGTACAGTGTCTGACAAAGGGTTAATACTCCAGAAAATATAAGAAACTCAGCAGCAAAAAACCACAGATAATCCAGTAAAACAGTGGCCAGTAGACCTAAGCCAGACTTTCTAAAAAGAACGCATACAGATGGTGAACAGACATGAAAAAATGTCCAACATCACTAACCAGGGAAGTGCAATCAAACCCACGGTGAGATAGCACCTCGCTCCAGTAGGAATGGCTCTCAGCAGAGAGTCTGAAGACGAGGCTGGCACGGGTTAGAGAACAGGGAGCGCGCTGTGGTGGAAATGTAAGCTGTACAGTCACTGAGAAAAACAGCATGGAGATTCCTCGAAAAATAAATAGAATTACCTTCGGATCCAGCAAGCCCGCTGCTGGGTGGATATCCAAAGGAAGCGAAACTGGTGTGTCAGAGACTTCTGATCTCCCGTGTTCACTGCAGCCCTGTGCACAATAGCAGTGGAAATACCTGAGTGCTCACCACCTGATGTAGGAGAAAAGAAAATGTGGTATGAGAAATGCAGTGACATACTATTCAGCGGTAAAAAAGGTGCAGTCCTGTTATCTGTGACGTGGATGGAGCGAGCGATTATTTTGTTAAGTGAAGTCAGGCACAGAAAGATAGTAGAGCACCACAAGGTCTCACCCATGCAGAATCTAAACAGAGCTGATCTCTTGGAGGTTGAGAGCAGAGTGGCAGCTGCCAGAGGCTGTTGGGAGCAGGCCTGGGAGAGCTGGGGAAAGGTTGGTGGGCGGCACCAGCGTGCAGTCAGACAGGAGCAAGGTACTCCAGCATACTGTGCTTCCATAGGAATGTGCTGTGGACTTCAGAGCTAGCAGGAAGGGTTTATGATGTTTTCATTCCAAAGAAATGATCAGTATTTGATGAAACATGTGCATCCTGATTTGGATATTATGATAAATACATTCTGGTACCTATTTATATGGTACCCATAAATACATGCAATTAAAAGTAAATGCATGCTTTTTCATCTTTAGTACTTATTAAACTTTTAAAACTTCAACAAAATGTTTATGAAGTGGCCAGGAGGGAAAAGGGGGTGGGGGAAGTGAGTAACATTTCCGGCAAGTGAGACTGAAGTTTAGGTCCTTGTCAGAATCTCAGTATCACAGCAGCTCCGTGCCCACTGAGCAAAGGAAGTCTAGGTCACCAAACAGAAGGACTCTGTGAACTTGACAGCCCTCTTCATTTTTTACCACAACATTGTCCGTGCAATTAGAGATTTATTAGAAAATAGGCAGCTTTGTACTATTTGAGTCATTGCGTTGTGGCAGTGATTAAATGTGCATTCAAAAAAAAGTATGTCATTTTTATTCTTGCAGGTTAATTATATTTGTACTGTTCATTTCCCCCTTCTAGTTTGTGTATAAATGAAGAGTTTTAAGATTTCATTCTTTCCAAAAATTTAGTTTTCATTTTTTTGTTCACTTAAGTTTTGTGATGGTTCATGATTGTAACTAGTACTGGAAGCTGTGCTACTTTGTATGTATGTAGTTTACACCAAAGCAATTAAAATTTCCCAACTTAATTAAGATCATGTTTTATGAATGTTTACATCTTGCCAGTATCTTTTATGTACACTGATTTATCATTGAAAGTTTTCTTTAAATATTCTGATAGACAACTTGAAGGGGGAGTTCTATTATGGCGTGACTGTATAAGTCAAAATACATGTTTTAACAGGGTGTAGAATAGGAAATGAACTGCATATACACAAGGTCAGGTATAATATACGTGACAGGAAAACAGCATAGTTGTATAAATCACAACAATTTACCATTTCTCTAATAAGGCCTTAAAATAATTTTGCTGCGCATTGTAGGTCTGTAGTAAATCATGCCTCAGAGTCATCAGAAAGCATAGACAATAAGGTTATTTCAAGCTGATAGAGAATTAGAAAGGAAGCAAATGAAAACATTAGTTTTCAAGTTTTTGATACTAATAAAAGTGAACTTTGATTTTAATAAACCACATGAAGTCAAAATAGTGCTTCTTGTATTGAAATTTGTTTGAATATATGTATGGTTAGAATTGCCTTTCCAGATTAAAAATCTTAGGAATGATTTATAGTGCGTCAGCTACTCTAGAGTGACGCTAAGGTGGAAATGAGGTCATTGGATTTTCTGTATTCGTGAGAGTTACATTCTGTGAGGTCACCACCAACACTGAACTAGGAATACTGACCCAGTGCTGCTAGGGCAGATAATGGGTTCCTCCAAGCCCTTGGTCAGTGCTGTCAGCCACTCACTCTATACCTTTTTAAGTTATGTTTCTGTGTGAAGATACGTACTTCATATACATATAGTTGATTCTTTCCTAATGATGGTTCATGACCACCAGCACTGCAGATCATGTCTGAACAGCCTTCCTGCCTTGGGAAACACAGGACACTGAAACCCTGCTTGGGGTTATTTTCAGCAATGAGTTGCCAACAAGAAGTACAAATATGTGAAAACCGTAACCCTAAATAGACTGAGAAGAGCCCTTGTACACAGTAATGAAAGCCAAAACAAGAAGGCTGGGACTTTGGCCTCAGCTGGGATTTTTCCCCCCTACACTGCTCATTTCTTCCAGTGAGGACAAAAGCACTGAGCATATGGGTTTAAGGGTATGAATGATGGTGAGTGAATTTCCGCATACAGAATCCAGGGGTATGATGTTCAACTACAGTAAAATCATTATTGCTGTATCTATCTTCAGCTCTGACTTTCCATTTTTATTGTGTATCTTTGAATGATTTGAACCTTTCAGGTGAGTAGAGTATATGCAGGAGTTCAGAGGTCAGTCATCTTGATTTTAGTGTGCAGTCTTGGTTTAGACATCTTGTTAATTCTGATGAATTGCTACCCCCTTGTTTGTTTTAGATGCCAGCAGTTCTTAATGTGATTTTAACTTTAGGGGATCACCTCTCCTGTGATCAGGACCAAAGAAAAGGTTTACTGCCCAGTGTCTTGTCTTAATGGAACGAATAGTTTGAAAGTCATCTCAACCCTTGAGACATCTTGGCGTTTGAAGAGTTCAGCCTAAGCTCTTCAGATTTCAACATACTAGTCTTAAGTAATTTGTAATTTTTGTTTGTTTGTTTTGAGACGGGGTCTTGCTATGTAGTGCAGGCTGGCTTTGACATAGCTTGTGTAGCCCAGGCTGGCCCTCAAACTCACGGCACTCCTCCTGCCTCAGCCTCCTGAATGCTGGGTTTCAGGCGTGCAGCACTACACCTGGCTTGTAATTGCTTTTTCCAATAGCTTTTTTTCTGCTACATTTGACTGCCGTCCCTACTCCCCCCTGTACTGATGGCAGAAATTTAATCTTAGTCCATGTTCAGTGGTTTCAATTTAAATGGATTCAGTTCACAGAAGCACGTTGCCTGCCTGCTGCTCCTGGTCAGCATATCCCAGTTCTGAAGTGAAGAGGTGACACTGTGGTCTGGGCAGTGCTGGCACTGGACAGCGACGACTCTTAAGATCACAGCACATCATTTTCTCTGGGGCCGCATGCTAGCTTCTGCTGAGAAGGCGGACTCTGGGTTGGTCCTCAGGGCTAAGATCTATGCTTTCCTGCAACCACACACCCTCCCGGCATCCAGCTGAGGCCCTGCATAGCCTCTGTGCCCTGCAGGTGCCAGTCTGGGGCCACAGCTAGAGCCAGACCGTAGGGCTGTAGACCCAGATTTGTTTGCCGTGACGGTAGTCTTTGTATTACAGTGTTGCTGTTGTTAGTCATAAACAGGCTCGCATGTTACACACATCTCTAAACCTGTCTTGAAAAAAATTCATCACAGTGCAAAATTCATCACAGTGCCGTAATTCTGTTCCATTTATAACAGATATACAGTGTGTCTAGTGTTTTTCTTAAAGATTTTATTTTAAATTGAAATCTTTAAAAGTTGATTGTCTTCTGCTATTCTGGACCAAAAGAATATATATGTAGAATTTCAATTCTACTCTTAATATATTACAGGGCTTAAGGAATAAACCAAAGAAAACAGCACACGTGAAGCCAGATCTCATAGACGTTGATCTGGTAAGAGGTGAGTACTGGATAAATAAGCTTATAATACAAGTAGATATTGAACATAAGGAAAAGTCAGAATAGGTTAGGAAAGTATGAGCCTAATGAGGACAAGCGTCCTAGAAAAAAGAGAGAATAGGTCATTTGAATACTATTGAGGACTCATCCTCCCACTAAAGATCACTCCCAGAAATAAGTATAAAAAAATAGCCATTCGTGCTTACTTGGCAAACTACAGAACTTTGTTGCAGAAATTAAAAGCATTTTGTTAAGAAAATAGTAATTCTTTACTGGAATGAACATTTGAATACTGTCCTGTATTCAAAACATGGGACAATAAAATATGTGAGAGAAGTTCTACATCATTTTAATTCATCTTTTTCCAAGTATCTGAGTTACTGTGCTAGAAAGGAGAATGTGTTTTAAAGTGGTTACTACTCCAAATTGGATGTTCATACTCTTAGCACAGAAATAAGAAAGTTACATGGTGTCCTTGTTTTTTAAGCATTGAAATGTTTTCTGTAGGGAAGTTAGAAAAAAGTAAATGTTATCTGTCATTGTATTTTACTTATTTCTCAGGGTCTGCATTCGCTAAGGCAAAGCCTGAAAGCCCATGGACTTCTCTGACTAGAAAAGGGATTGTTCGAGTTGTATTTTTCCCCTTTTTTTTCCGGTGGTGGTTACAAGTCACATCGAGAGTCATCTTTTTCTGGCTCCTAGTTCTTTATCTTCTTCAAGGTATAATGAAGTGGTGCAAATGCACTTTACTTTTCACTTTCAGGATATTATATATTTTGGGTTACTAGGGCTTGTTCTAAATAACATACTAACTGCTACCAAGTGTGAAGTGAGTGTATGTTAGAAGCAAAACTAGTTTGGTATTAAAAATGTTTGAGAGGACAAAGCAGGTACTTTTCAGTATAATTTACAAAAAGTTAAATCTATGGATGGCTAAAGAAAAATGAGAATTCAAAATGCATCTACCCCGCCCACACATGCCTTTTTTTTTTTTTTTCCAAAGCAACCTGTGCAGGATTGTTTTTCTTGCCTAGCACATTTATTTTTCTGCAGCTTATTCCACTGTGACCTTGCGACCCTCCTTCTGTATTAAAACATTATCTATCATCCACTCTTCTAGTCATCTTCTCAGATTCTTGTTTAATTCTCCCAACACCCCCTTGACAGATGGACCTGTACTAGTATTATGCCTGCCTCGTAGACATGGACCTGAATGGTTTAAGGATCCAAAGGCAGCGGTCACCCAGTCTGGTGGAGGCTGGACTCAAGCGTAGGCATTGTGACCCCGGAGCCGCCCGTTGATGCAGCAGTAGACAGCGTGTGTGTAGAGCGTTTGGAGACTGAAGGAGAAGCAACTCCTATGAGCCTCTCACACTAACAGAGCAGTTATTTTCATTTGGTTGAAGCCTTTCTTTGTACTGTTTCTTTTTTTAAGCATGGTTTCAATCCTGAATGATTATTTACGTGTTTTTATCAGTAGACTGTGTAAGAGATATCTTTTAAGTAAATGAAAATAAAGTAGAAATTACAAGTTTTATTTAAAGTTGATTTTTCAGCTGGGCGTGGTGGCACACACCTCTAATCCCAGCACTCGGGATGCTGAGGCAGGACAAGGCCAGCCTGGACTACATAGTGAGTTCAGGGGCAGCCTTAACTATACAGTGAGACCCTGTCTCAAAAAAAGAAAAAAAAATGTTGATTTTTTTCTAAGCCAGGGCACATCTTACATCTGCAAAAAGGAGTGGACAGTGAGGATTTTGTGGTTAATGTTAGACTCTGTTGCTTGTGTGGTATTTTTTGTTTTTAGTGCTAGAGATAAAACTCAGGGCCTTGCATATGCTCAGCAGGTGGCCTACTACTGAGCTAGACCTCAGCCCTGTTTTTTCGTGTGATTATAGATACATGTTCATGAAAGAAAGAAATGACAAATTTAGAAAAAGCCAAAGAAAGATAAAATATCTTCCCATAATCTTCCCTTTTGATCTACTTTGTAACATTTATACGTGGTTGAGATGTTTTTATATAAACAATGCTATATGATTTTTGCATAATGTCCTAACAAGTTTCAGGGTCTTTATACATCATTTAAAATTGCTAGAAAATATTATGCATCAATATTAGACATTTAAGCTTCTTTTGCTATTATAGTTAGTGCTTAAGTAAACATTTGTTCATGAAGCTATCTTATATTTTCAATTGTGGATTCTTAGAATTCATAAAATTAAATGTCTTACCAACTTTCTAGCCATTTTTTAAAATGTATCTTTTTGTTGTTAGTAACATATTACATGAAAATTCTTCCAGTTTTGTATTATCTGATACTTCGTAGGTATAGTTATAATTTTTATCAAGTTAAATTTTCATTAAAGTAAATAATGAATCTAATTTATTAAACTTTGTTGTTTTGGTTTTCTGAGACAGGGTCTCCCTATGTAGTTCAGGCTGGTCTTGAACTCACTGTGTAGCCCCGGCTGACCTCAAACTGGTGACAGTCCTCCTGCCTCTGCCTCCTGAGCGCTGGGATTACATGTGTGTGCCACCATGCACCGTCTTAAAGGAAATCATATACATCATATTTTATCCTGACTCCAATAATAGGCCTTTCTTTAAAATATGCTACCATAGTACAATGATCATACTTACGAAAATGAACAGAAACCTCCTAATATTCTAATTTTCCACTTTTTCCAAAACAAAATTAGATTCTTCTAAGTTGTGGATTCAGGCTTGGTGAGGTCTCACTTCCTCTCCATTGACTGCACTGTCCTGTGCTGGTCACATTCTAGCTTAGCTCTTTTTGGGTGACAGCTGAAGTGGCTCCTGAAAATTTCATGTTTCTACAGCCTTAGCATTTCTGACTTAAGAGCACAGCCTGCTGTCAGAGCCACCCTTGAATTGTATGCATCTTATTTTCATTGCAGTGTTGAGAAGTTCTGACTGGCCCTGCATGGGTTACGTGTCTGTGTTTTTATTTTTATGCCCAGAATTACTAAAACTGTGGCAAACCTAGATTACATGCCCATGCCTGGTGGGTCGGGAGTAGACTTTCATTGACTGATGAAGGCAGGAAGCTCCCAAAAAGTATAGAGATTTTATGTCCAGAAAGTCTGAGGTATGTCCACATGGTAATGGTTACCACTGATGGATGTGCAGTGCCCAAGTGAATTTATGCTTTTTAACTTGACTGCGTAGTCCCATGGACCCCTGTTGACAAACTTTTTGTTAGGTTCTTTGAACACTATCATAGACTTTCTTGGTTTTTTTTTTTTAGAATTTTTTTTTTGTGTGTGTGGTACTGGGGATCAAACTCACGACCTTGAGCTTGCCAGGCAGGTGCTTATACCACTGAGCTATATCCTTAGCCCTACTTCCTTGTTTTTAAAACAGAGTAATAAATGTACTTAAGGTTAGTATGCTTCTTTTCATTGTGATGTAACCTGAAGCCCCGTTAAATCTGTATGCATCTAATTTTTACTGCACTGGTGAGGTGTGAACTTCAGGGACTACACTGAGTGCCCTCTTGTTCTGAGAGTGTGTTACTAAATTCCACTGTTAAGCCATGGTAAACAAGATGTAACATAGACATTTTAAACTTGTTTAAATTTAGAAGGAGTCTAGCAAGAAGTAAGAACAGTGTAAAGAATACCTGTGCATTCCATAATTAAATGTGTGTCCTTTCCCTCTTGTAGTGGCCGCAGTAGTGTTGTTCTGCTCCACTTCCAGCACACACAGCATACCTCTGACCGAAGTGGTTGGGCCCATATGGCTGATGCTGCTCTTGGGAACGGTGCACTGTCAGATTGTTTCCACAAGAACACCCAAGCCGCCTCTGAGCACGAGCGGTAAAAGAAGAAGGTACTGTGCTGTCTGGTAGACAGGGACCTTTTTGTCGATGTCTGTGATTTCAATCCAGGATTGTTCTCGACTGCTCTTACCTTTGTGCAATAAAATGTGGTCTGGTAAAGTTGTCCTTTCAAATCAAATAAAGCATTGAGCCCCAGAATCAGTCACCACCCCCTGCCCCCACCCAGACTTGCTTCAAGGCCGTTTTTAGCCCACATGCATGTGTGTCTGTTTTTGTTTCGAAACTCATTTCTGGTGACCTAAGACTGGTGTTAGGAATATATGTTAGCTGGCATGGCTAGGCTTCCTTTTTCTGCTCACAGCATTTTATATTTCTGTGATGCCTCAGCAAAAATACAAACCAAGAAAAATTCTAGCTGTCTTTATTGAATGCTGTTGCAGGCATTTTAATGCCCATTGATTAAGTAAATATAGCAATTCTCACTGGGTATTAAGCACAGTGGTATTCTGCTTGAAGGGTCTTTTGGAGCAATTCCTTGTTTGAATGTCATTGCTATGAGCTTGTGACAGTTTTTGGGTGTTGAGATTTCTTTTTTTTTTTTTATCTTAAAGAGTAAAACAAGGATAACATAATAATAGGGGGGACTTAGCATATTACAGACAAAATGGTAGGAAATTATCAATGGTTATCGTTTTACATATTATTATCTACAAAATAGTTTCTCAGGAAAACAAATAGACAAATAATAGTGCGTTAGAGACAAAAGAGGTAGGAGATTATCAAGAGTTGTTGTGCTATACTTTGGTATCTTCAAAGTGGCTTCTAAAGAAAATAAATAGAGCTATACATGAGTGACCTATTGAAAAATCATTAACTATTCTCAATGGTTGTTGTAGGAAACACATAATAATAAACATACATCCATTTATGAAATAGGATAGGAACATTACAAACTTTACACAGTTATGGATAGATTAGTAGGAAGATATCAATGGCTGCTGTAATATGTGGTGGTATCTTCAAAGTGGTTTCTCAGGAAGACAGAGATATGCAAGAAGGATCTAACAAGTAGTTACAGCCTAAGGGTTGTCAAAAATAGCGTATTACCTCCTCACCAGTGACTCGTTTCACTGAGGTGTGACGGCTGGAAGGAAGGCCAAGATTGAAAAGAAGGACCGAGAGACTTGCACCTGTGTCTAGCAACAGGCTGTTTTCTTGTTCCTCCATAGTCATGATTACCCAGGGCTCCTCGATGGAGATGACGGTCTGGCCAGAGGGAAAAGGCAGACCATGCCCCAAGCCCTCTCATTCTGTTGGACTAACTGGTAGCATGGGTCTGAGCTCTGGGGCCTCCACCTCAGAGGGCAGACCGATCTCCAGTGGTCTCCTTTGCATCCAGGGCATGGCCCGTGGGGCCTCTTAGGGCAGTTCCTCTTGAGGTGGCCTGGCTTTTAACAGTGGTAGCAGATGAATGCAGTTGTCGAGTTCTTCTTGGAGCCCTGGGAATCAGACCTGGGATCTGTTTCTCTTAATGGTGCAGCAAAAGCAGCTTCGGTGTTGAGATTTAAACCCATCTCATTTTTAAAAGATAATACCTGCTTTAGATAAATTGTTTTGTTGGTTAGTTAGATTATAATTCTTCGCAATCTAAATTTTCTTCTTTCTTCATCTGCAGATAAGTGTTATTCAAATAGGGAAGAAGTGCTTTGTAAATAATCTGTCCCGAGTGATCCTTACAACTTTCTCTCCACTGACTTGTCAGGATGAGCCAGGAACCATACCTTAACATTTAGAGAAACTGGTATCTAGAAGTGAATATTAGTATGATGTTTGGATGATGTTTTATCCAGTAAATTTGAATTTTATTATGTAATACAGTTCCTGTGTTTATGTTTTTCATAGTTTTGAATGTTCTGCCATACCAAGAAAATTTTAAACCTACCTGCCACTCTTAATCTCTTCTGATAAAGGAAACTGAGGAAAGCAGCTCACTTGGAAGTGCACAGGGAAGGAGATGGTTCTAGTACCACAGACAACACACAGGAGGGGGCCGTCCAGAGCCACAGCCCAAGCAGCTCTTCCGGTGTCGGTGCTGTCTTCAGGGGTCTCTGGCGTGCTGCGTTCTTCTTATCACGGTTTGTATGCATTCAAGGTTTTCAGTGGCCTGGAGACACACTGTCCCTTTGAGACAATGAGTATTAATGACTGCAAGTGTAACAGCTTCATTGTCATTTTATTTTGACACGATAGTGCTATAGGTAGTGAAAAAATAGAGACTATGAAGTTTACTTTGGGTTGTGTAAACGGAACTACTTGAGAATGAATATATAATAGCAAAGTATATTTAATTAGGATTTCTTGATTTTGGTTTCTGTGAGCACTTTAGATTAAAATTGGCTTTCATATGTCATGTGAGTTTCATGAAATTTTTTCTTTTCAATGCCTGTCTCTGTTACCCAAAATTATCCAATTAATTATAAATGTCTCAAGTTCATCCTTCTTTATGGTAGAGTAACACTCCATTGTATTAAAAAAGAAAACACATCTTCTTCATCATTCATCATTTGATGGGCATTTGGGCTGCTTCCAAGATTGGCCGTTACAAACTGTGCCACTGTAAACATAGATGTGCAAATACTTCTGTGGTATGATGCTTTTAATTCTTCCAGGAAGATACCAAGAAGGGGAATAGCTGGGTCAAATGGGACCTCCAATCCTAGTTTTTGAAGAATTTCCACACTGATTTCCACAGCGGTTATACCAACAATGGAGAAGTGTTCCTTTTGCTCCACAGCCCTGCCAGCATTTGTTACTGGTTGATTTCCTGATGATAGCCATTCTTTCTCCAGTGAGATGGAATCTCAGTGTTGTTTTAATTTGCATCTTGACTGACCAGTGATTAGACTGACCACTGAACATTTTTTCATGTATTTATTTACCATTTGTACTTCTTTGTCTGAGAAGTATCTCTTCATTTCAGATGTCCATTTTTGGATTGGGCTTTTAAATTTAGGGAGTCTGAGTTTTTGTAGTTCCTTATATATTCTAGATATCAGTCCTTTGTCTAAGGGACAGCTGGCAAAATTTTTTCCCATGCTGTGGATGGTCTCTTCACTCTGTTGATGGTTTCTCTTGCTGTGCAAAAGCTTTTAATAAGTTGAGATCCCAGTTGTTAATTCTTTGTGATAGTTCCTGTGCAGACAGAGTTTTGTTCATAAAGTCTTTGCCCACACCAGTGTCTTCAAGAGTTCTACCTGTTCTCTTTTCCAGCAGATTTAGTGTTTCTGTTTTAATGGTTAGACCTTTAATCTATTTTGTTAGTTTAGTACATGGTGAAAGATATGGGTCTACTTTTAATATTTGGCCTGTGAAAAGCCAGCTTTTCCGGCATTAAAGAGGCTATCTTTCCTGCAGTGAAGGTGTTTGCCTCCTTTGTCAAAGATAGGGAGGCTGAATGTATCTTGAGTTGTTTCTGTATCTTCTAATCTGTTCCATTGATCCTTGGGTCTGTTTTTTTGCCAGTACCATGCTATTTTTGTCACAGTAGCTTTGTAATATAATTTCAAGTCAAGGATTGTAATGCCCCCTGCCTTGCCTTTGCTGCCCAGAATTGTTTTTGCTATTCTAGGTTTCCTCTGGTTCCAAATGAATTTTAGGATTGTTTTCTCTAATTCTGTGAGATAACAAAGCATTATTATTTACATGAATATAATTTGTACTGTAGTGAAAATTTATTTTTGTACACTGAACTTTTTATATAGTCTGTACCACCAAGGAAGATTTATCAAATAAGAAAATAAAAAACAGCAAACATTAAAAATAAACCTAACCTAGTTGTGTAGCATCACCATAATTATTATTATTATTGTGAGTCAAATATTTATTTAGAACATGTGAAGGTTATGTTACTAGTTTTCACATGCGTATATTTGAAAAAGGTTAAAATGCTATGATCAAAATATTGAGTATAACTGATGAGAAGTGCTAAATTGATAAATCAGGAAAAGGGATACTACAGATGACTGGTTTCAGCCACTTTGGTAACTGTTTCACTGTTATTGTTTTGTTAATTTATGGTTGTGCTCTTATCATAAAATTTATCATGGTTGTGCTCTTATCATAAAATTTATCATGTATTGTACAGGTAAGCAATTATCTCCTGGACATATTTTCAGTGGTTACAATTTTTAGAAAAATTTTCCAAAGTGTTAATAGTTAAAAATAACATGACATTGATCGAGTTGAAATTTCCTTTATTCCAGTTACCTGTTCTTCCCTGATGCCACGTGCTCTTTTGTTTGACCTGCATTGGCTTCCGCCTCTCTGTTTCTCTCCCTGCCGAGCCTTCTTTACTAACATAGCTGACCTTTCTGACATTAAGATGTAATAGATTAATCACTGCAAAGTCGGTTTCTTAAACATGCACTACTTTCAGATAAGCAGTTATAAATAGCGTATAAATAGCACATATTTTATTTATAGGGACTCTTTGGTATTTATAACTGATACTATATTATGCGCAATATTCAGAAGCCCTCTAACAGCACTAGGTTGGTGCTTCTGAGAGTTAACTATGTTTCTCTAGTCAAATGAGATCTAGCTTTTAGGTTTCTTTCTGTTGGTCTATAGCGTAACCATATCGTGACCAACTTCTGGGTTTATTCCTTTAATCATCACAACTGCATGTCTAAATATTTTTAAAAATAATCTAGTTTTAACTGTTTCATTTGTGAGGTAGCTTGCTGGCATATGAGTGAGTTTGTTTTAAATACTATATACCAAAGATCTCAGGAGAAATGTTAATTTTAAGAAGTCTTGATTGGTGAAGAAGAGCTTAAACTGAAATGTTCACTGAGACTTAATAAAATTGTTTCTGGTAATACATTAAAAAGCTGGTTATTTCCGTGAAGATATCATAGTTAACATAAGTGGGAAAATGAATAGCCACACAAGCGTCTAAGCTTTGTGTATGCTTTCTTTTTTTTTTTTTTTTTTTTGGTTTTTTTCTCCGGTACCAGGAACCAAACTCACGACCTTGCGCTTGCCAGGCAGGCGCTTTTGCCGCTGAGCTAAATCCTCAGCCCCTGTGTATGCTTTCTTGATGGTTTTTAAGGATACGATGAAAATTACTATTTTAAATCCTTTATTTACACATTGGAAAGGTGCTTTTTGTCATCTCAGTATATTTCATTCTTAAGATAGAACTATTTTAGAAATAAGGCATAGTATTTCTCATTTGAAAACTTAGGAGTTACTATAAAAAGTACTTTTATGAACATAAAAAAACAAAGGCCAAGAAAGTACCAGTTTTAAAAGATACAAAAATCTTTCATAGTTCCCAAGATTTAGTACTTTAATTTTGATGGATTGTTAACTTTGATTAGCATATTTATAGTTTATAATTGATTGGATAGGATAATTACTTATAGATTATCTGTGCAGCATACTATCTATTTCAGAATTCAGATTGATTCTATTTTCTTTCATGTCCTTAAGATTTATTTAACCGTCATAATATTGCTCAAAAACAGACCAGCAAACAAGAATTACGCTCTTTTTTTTTTTGAGTGCAGAACATAACTTAGGTAAATTGACTTGTGAATGAGCGACACACACCAGAATAATACCAGAGCAGCGTTAGTGCACATGCCTGACTGACCTACTTCGAAGGTTTCTGCACTGGCCGGGGAGTGTGTCTCAGTGGTAGAGTGCAGTTTTAATACTGTGAGTCGCGACCATGGCAGTGAAATTGCACATTGTTTCTCAGCAAATGTTTTCTATTAAAATCCAATCCACAAAAGACTGCTGCCTTGTTTTGCTTATTAGTAAAAAACAAATTAAGCATCTGTCATAGACCAAGCAGATGTTCTATCATAGCACTGAAGCTGTTTGATGAAGGAGAATCCTCTGAAATACAAAGTTAAAATGTGAACACAGTGTCCTAAGAGCAGTAAGAGGCACAGCTATCTATGCTAAGGAGAGTCAGAAAGTCCTCCTGTTTCAGGTTGTTCTAAAAATGAATTTAAACAAGGTTTGCATATGTCCTTGCAAGAAGAGTGGTTCTTGGGGACCTGGCAAAGTCATTCCATTATCAGTTTTTGAATAGAAACATAAACCAAACTCAGGAGGTTGGGCGTTTGAGGGTGACGGGTGAACTTAGAGTTGAGGGTGTGTGCAGCGTTGAGGAGCATCACAGCCTGCTGAATGCTATTTCTGCATGGCTGGGGGGCCTCAAAACCCTTCACCCTCAGCACAGAGTGATGTTGGGAAAGCTCCTGGTTGCCCTTACAGGCTGCCGAAATCTTTTTTTCTAAGAATCATTGAATGATAGAAAATATATGAGAAATCCCAATGTTCATTTCTTTCTAACGTGCATAGAATTGTAGTGATTCTCAAAGTGACAAAAGTAAATCTATAATTTACTTTACAATATTCTGAAAAGTCTCTTAGAAACCACAGGTTTTTCTGGTGGTGGTAAGTGCCACATTTCCTTGGTTTGTGCCAGAATTATATGTGATCCACATGAAAGCAGAAGTGTGAGAGACCTGTCTTCTGATTCTCTCGTTATCGTTGTGCTTGACCTGGTAAGCTTCCAAAGTCCAGGTGTGATGTCATAATACAACCAATAAAATTGGTGGCCGTCGCTATCACGTTTGTAATTTACGAAAGGCTTGGTTTGGCATTGACTTCATCTTCATTTCTTCTTGTAACACCGGAATCACTTAATAGCTGTAGAGCGAGGAGAAGTGAGAGGCTTCACCTCTTCCGCCAGTCTCCTTAGCTGCTCCGACTGTCTGCGTTCTTTCCGTGTTTCCCCCTCGACACACCAAGAGTCCTCCCTGCACAAGCACCTGTCCCACCCTCACTGTTGTGTCATGCCACCTGCCTCGGGTCAGCAACCTCTCCCACTTCCTGCTCAGGAACAGAGGTGGCTTTCTGTTCTCCACCCGTGGTGCCCTGTGTCCCCGCCCAGCACACTTTAGTCCCCTTGCAGCCCGTGGCGCTCCTGTCCAGAGCTGGGGACGAGGGTTCTTCCCTCGCTAGGCGGCCTCTGTTCCCAGGGGTGCGCAGTGCAGGTCTAGGAGACAGGGCCTCTGCAATGGAGTAAGCAGAAGCAGTATAGAGAGGGGTGTCGCCCTTCCCTGCCCACATTCCTGTGAGAACATTGTTTTATTAAGAAAAGTATTATAGGGCCAGGGACACAGATCAGTGGCACAAGCACCTGCCTGGCAAGTGCAAGGTCCTGAGTTTGATTCCTGGTACCAAGAAAAAAAGAAAAGCATTATAGACATTAAGTGCAAATATCAGAAGGCAGATTTTTCTATGTGTTGGTAATGCTAAAAAGCACTATTTGTTTCAATACTATAGTACTTTAATCCCAGGTCCCAATTTCTTTCTATATTTCAGTCTTCCCCCTCCCCCTCTGCTCTCAGCCTCGTCTAATTTTCATGAACCTTCTCTGCATAAATATCTTTCCTTACCTTTGAGTTTCTGACATTTTCAAGATAACAGGCAACTTCACTCGTGGCTTCTTTCCTCCCGCATGTGCCCGTGCACAGCGGTAAAGGCAGAGGGGAAAGGGGACAGTTAATAAAGCGGAGTCTTCGTTATTCTCATCTTTAAGCAAAGACGGTCACATGTTTCCTTGTGCCTGTTATTTTCTGTTTTCGTCATTCTCTGCTGTAATCCATTTTGTTCCCTTCCTCTGCCCCTCTCAAATGGTTATTATTCGGCTCATTGTTCGCATGGTCTCCCCGTTCCTCTGAGAATCATATAGGAAGGAAAGTCAGGAGATCAGACTTCCGAGTCTTGCAGCTGTGTGCAGATGTGTTCCAAATGCCTGAGAGGCCTCGGTCCTCCGGCAGGCACGTGGGAGTGTGGTCCATCTGTGCCCTTAGGGTCCCTGCAGACCAGTGGGCACTGTGTGCATGACAGACACCGTCTGTGTTTGAGCACATGTGTTACGAAACCCTAATGGGCAGCTGGAAGTAGTACGGAAAATGGAATGAACCTCACAGCAGGAGGTCTGAGTCTGGTGCCTGCTTTGCCTCTGACCGGCTCTGTGACCTTAAGTAAGTCACTTAGACCTCTTTGTCCTTCTGACTCCTGTTCTCAAAATAAGCCTCAGAATCAGGGAGTTCTCAGGCTCTGCCCACTTCTGAAATGCAGATTGCAGCACTGCTGAGTAGCTAGAGTTGAAGGCAGTGTGCATTTTTTAAACTTATTAATTCACAAGACAACATAGTCACATTTTTCTTTAGTGAAAACATATTCTAGGAAAAAATTTAGAGGGATTTATTTAAATATAGTTGCATTTAAATTATGTTTTATGGTAGATTCAGAATCTGTCTTGAACATACTTTAATTTGTGTGGGACTTACATTATGGTACCTCTGTTAACTATTCTTTTGGGTAGCATTCTTCTCATCCCCGATCATCTCTGAGGAAGACTCCAGTGATTTGCCTATTAATAAAAAACGTTTATTTCCCATATTTTATTTATTGAGAAAGATTTTATTACTATAGATAAACATCTTTAACTTTAGCCATTTAGATGTTTATACTTCATGATTTCTTTTTTTTTTTGGTTTTTTTTTTTTTTTTTGGTTTTTCTCCGGTACCGGGAACCGAACTCACGACCTTGCGCTTGCCAGGCAGGTGCTTTGCCGCTGAGTTAAATCCCCAGCCCCAAGCTTCATGATTTCTGATATCTTTTCCAGAGTACTTCAGTGGGTGAAAGAGGTTACTTATTTTTTTTATGTTCTTTAGTGTTACTTCTTCCATTATTTGAGTCTTCTTCAAAGTTTTCCTCTTTTTCATGTATTTTTTATCTTAAAAAAGGTCATACATTTCCATTATATATTAAGATGAATTTATGAGATATTTGCTTGTATATACTCATGGTAAAGCATAGATAGACTATTAAAATTAATTTAAACCACTGATTTCAACTTAATTGCTAAGGTAGTTTTTTAAAATAACACTTCAGAATGTATTATAAAATTGGCAAAATTTTGCTTCTACATTTGCTCAAAGAACTAGTGATTTTGACTAAATCAGTTGTTTAATAAACTAGAGCATGTCTTTTAGAATTGCTATTTGTAAGGCCTCAAAAAGTACAATAAGCTGAACGAAAATAAGACATGTTTTATTATGTTGCTGAAGTTATTTATTGTAAAAGAAGAGTAGCCATTAAAATCTGAGATGCAGCTACTTAAAGTAATTACCAACAGATGATAATTTCTGTCAGTAACCCAACCAAAACAAGCTAGGTCAGTATAATGTGCCTCTACATATTTTTTTTCTTTTTAGATCAACAAAAACAAAGAATTCAATAGATAAATCAACAGAGACTGACAATGGCTACGTGTCCCTTGACGGGAAGAAGACTGTTAAAAGCAGTGAAGACGGAATACAAAATCATGAACCTCAGTGTCAGACTATTGGGCCAGAAGAGACGTCCTGGATCCCAGCAGCCCCGAGGACTGTTCTCAGCAAAGTGAGTGCCCTCACGTGGTGCGATCCAAACTGCGGGGAACGCGGCCGCTGAGTGCCGGGCTGTGGAAAGGCAGGCACACAGAAACATCGCCGTGTGCCCGCACCGCCTTGCTCACCACACCGGGCGCTGGGCAACTTCTGGCTCTTCCTCACAGTCCAAGTTACTATGAGCGGTAAACGTTTTGAGTTGATTCAGGACATGGAGGCAGCCACAAAAAAGTAACTAAAGATACTCACGAAAGAAGACTTCCAGAACTGCTTCAGAAGGTGGCAAGATCAATGGGATAAGCATGTTCAAAGCGAGGGGGAATATTTTAAAGAAGATTAATGCAATGTGTCTTTTACTGGAACAAATTGTTTAAAACTTTCTTAAAACATTCACCATATTTTTGGTCACACTACATAATCCCTTACTATGATTTTAGATGTTTCAAGCCTTTAGCTGTCTGATGTGAACCTTGCATTACTATCATCACTCAACAGATAAGTTTTCAAATACGTTTTTGGTTATGTAGTACTTGCTAAAATTATAAGAGAGGAACAGGAAGATAATCAGTAAAAGTTTTGCCATGTGGAGGATTAAACCCCGGGCTTCACATATACTCAGTAAGCATTCCACCACTGAGCTACACAGCCCCAGCCCTGGAGTGCTTTGATTTCAGAATTTCTAAAACCTGAGTGTCCCCTGCAAATTGCTTTATACATCTTATCTCTCTGATATGTGCACATACGCAGCTATCATTTACCTCCTTTTGCTGTTCCATAAGCCACGGTTAAATCAGCAGTTTGACATTGTTACTGTTGTTACTGTCTGTTTAAAAAAGTGTAACTGGTTCTCAGGTTTCGACCTTCTATGAAATGCCCTCCATTCTGCTTCTGTTTTCTTCTATAGTTCTTAATTTTGTAAGTTGTTTCAGATCTTTTTATCTACTGAAATGTAGAAGGACGTACAACGAAAGGCTGGGGAGTTACTTTTGAAAGTAAAATACAGATTTTCTTCTTCTTTCTTTCGGTGATACTGAGGATTGAAACCAGGGCTTTACATAAGCTTGGGAATCACTCTTTCATTGAGCTGTGTCCCCAGCCCAGCTAAAGTATATCTTTAAGAATATAATCGCCATTTTGAGAGATGTTTGCAGGTAGTACAGATCAATTATTTGGTGGCATTTGATGATATTTCAAATGTATTTGTAACTTAAAATATTGCCATTTTGAAGCTAACAGGTCAATCAGAAATGATGGGTTTTTTTCTTGTTGATTTTTGAGACAGAGTCTCACCATGTAGTTCAGGCTGGCTTTGAACTCACTACGCAGCATGGGTTGGCCTCAGACTCGAAGCAATCCTCCTGCCTCAGCCTCTTGAGTGCTTGGATTATAGGCGTGCACCATGTCCAGCAGGAATGATTTCTGATCCTCTTTGTGTACTCCAAACTTAGGACACCCAAAGGACAATAACAAATGTCTCTGATGAAGTATCCAGCGAAGAAGGTCCTGAAACAGGATATTCACTTCGACGTCACGTGGACAGGCCTTCTGAAAGCATCCTTCGGAATAGAAAGTCACACCATTACAAGAAGCATTATCCTAACGAGGTATATATTTGACCTTGCATATGCAGCTATTTTATACATTACTAAGTATGACTTCTTTCAGTAGTTGAATATTGTTGAACTATTTCCCACCATAATCAGTACTTATTTATTTATTATTTATTTATTTTTGTCTTTTTGAGACAGGGTCTGACTATGCAGTTCAGGCTGGCCTCGAGCTCACTTTGTAGCTCAGGCTGGTCTCGAACTTGCAGTGATCCTCCTGCCTCAGCCTCGGGAGTGCTGGGATTATAGGCGTGCGTCACCCCGCCCCCCGCCCGGCAATCAGTATTTATTTTTAAATTGATTTATAGAGCAGCAGAGTGAGCTTTCTGAATTCCACACACAGTGGCAGCTGTTTGTGCACCATCGCGGTGTATCATGCACTAGCATTGCTGATTACTCTTCAGTGAGCCTGTCCCAGGGAGACAGTCTGTCAGCTCCCGTGTTCATCTTTCCCACAGGCAGAGAGGCTTTGTAAGTTCTTGTTAGTTGTTTTCTTGTTAGTTGACTTTCTTCATGTTGCTGTCATTATTTATTAAGTTCTCCATGCTGCATAGCTTTCCGTTTTTTTCTTCGAATGTTTTTCTGTGTTGATTTTTCTTTTCACATTCTATCACCTCTTGAGCTTGAAATTACTTAAACAGAAAAAGAATTTCATTCCAATTTCTTTTCAGTTTCTTTTCTAAGGACAAAGTTTTCTTACCTGGCTTCAAAGCAAATCACCTTATGTCACTGTTTTGAGCAACAGCATCTTCTCTTTTTAAAGTCTGTTACTGTTTTTTTCTTGATGCTTTGGGTTATGCTTATGAAAAAGCAAATGTAACACCGTGTGGAATAATTTCAGGGTGTACGGCAAGAGAGTCTCTCGTTCTTTGCACGTTCTCTGTGGTTGTGTCTTGGGCTGCTTTTTCTACTGTGACTGGCTTCTCGCGCCAGCTGCTCTGACAGGCAGTAACCCAGTGCATGTGCCCTGCACCCCTCCACCTGCGTCATTTCCATGTGTCTCCCAACCCCAAGCCACGCAGCCAAGCTTGTGACCGTCACACCCTTACTCCACGGGGTTACAAGTCCTTGCCACCTGAAGGAAGCTAGAGGGCTATTTAACCCCTCCCTTGTGGAATACATTATTTAGCTTTGGGTACATTTCTCACCCTGTGATCTTTGTCCTTCTTGATTGGCAGCTGTATTTGGAGCTATTGAGGTTCATGCTGGGGACGCTTCTAGAGATTGAACCCATGGCCTTTGCCCAGAGCGACATCCCCAGTGCACCCTGCGCTATTTTTTTTTTTTAGGAGGTGGGGACATGGTCTTTAAAAAGTCCCTAAGTTGCCCAGTGTATTCTCAAACTTGGGATCATTCTGTCTCTGAGTGCTGGGGTTATAACTTACAGGGTTCTTTTTTTTGTGGTACCAGGAATTGAACTCAGAACTTTGTGCTTGCCAGGCAAGGCACTGTGCCCTGGAGCTATATCCCCGGCCCTAGCTTTCCAGATTCTTAAAAGACAGAACATTGTTTTGCTAATCTTGATTTGGAAATAAATGCGTTCGTTAAATTTTTTCTAGATTTCAACCTACGTGAGGCTTATAGTTAGTTAATATATATTGGTTGATTATGACTAAAGAATATTTTAAAAGCTGCATTCAGTTCCAGAAGGTTTTACCTTTTCAAGTCAAATCAACTTTAAACAATTTTTTTTTTTTTTTTGGTTTTTTTCTGGTACCAGGATCCGAACTCACGACCTTGCACTTGCCAGGCAGGCGCTTTGCTGCTGAGCTAAATCCCCAGACCCAAACAATATTCTTCAAAAAACCGAAATAGACCTTTTTTTGAAAAATTAAGATGGAAACAGATTTGTAGTGTTGTTCTTGCTTTTTTATTTGTATTACAAATTAATCTCTCCAAATTGCTGGTTGTTGTTTTTTTTTTCTGTGAGAGTGAGACACCCTGCACCCCCACTCCCAAAAACATACTCCTTTGGGCAAGAAGAGCAAGCAACTCTAGTACCTAGAATGTGCTGTTATCTCTTTTAAAGAAAGTTCCACAAAAAGCTATGCTTCTGAAGAAATGATGGTTTCCTAGTTCCTGAAGGTTACAGGAAACTTTTGGTATGATGGAAAGCAAGGAAGCTATCAGAGACTATGATGTTTTTTTCAGATTGTCTCAGGGGCCACAGATAGAAGAGTTTAACCACAGTTTCTATTTATAAAAGCATTCCAGTGAGTAAATGAGAAAGGAACTTTAAAAATGTGTGGGGGAAGCAGTTCGTGCAAGGTGGGGTTAGAGAGCTTCCCCGAAGATAGAAGGGTCAGGAACCTGGCCTTCTGATGTCAGCCGGAGAAGGCTATTCCAGTATCCTTATAGGGCATCAGCGTTTTCAGGAAGAGCTGTCCAGCCTTCTAGGTTGGGGCGGTAGATAAACACCAGGCTGCCAAGTGCTTGACACCCAGAGCACAAGAGATGAGCTGGGGGTCTCGTCATTTCCTGCGTAGACTTTCGCCTGTTCTTCACATTTTCTAATGAGGACTGTATCTGATTGGCTGATTTCAGTCCTCGTGTGGGGCAGGTGCTGGTGGAATTACTTGGTGGTTTGGGATGCAGGAAATGTCCTGGGGAGAAGACAGCTTCTCTCATGTGTGTGTCCTGTTGGACTCCATCCTGCTTTCACTAGTATCTTTTAAATTGTACTCCCTGTTGTAGATTAGGTTTTCATCTAATGCAGGTAGTATTTGATGGGAAGCATAATAAAGAAAATGTGGACTTGGAGTCAGATCATTTAAGTGACTTGGGGAAAATAGTTTAATTTCTACGTCTTTACAGTGGAGAGAAAAGACTGGCCTTCACAGATTGCTAGGGGTAGCAACATTTTACATAACTTGACAGAAACAAGACATTTCTGTGTTCAATTCTTATTCCCTTCAAATAAATAATAAATCTGCTCTAAATTTGACTATACATATACATACATATATATATATATATATATATATTTTATGGCTATATATATATTATGGCTAGAGTGGGAAAGAACTAGAGAGTAGCCGTGTACACGTAGTAGCCTGGTACCTCTGGAGGAAAGAAGTGGGTGAGAACGTAGCACTGCAGACTCGTAGGCTCGCAGGAGGAATTTGAGCTTTACCCAGCAGACAGCAGTGGAAAAGCATGCAGAAAGATTTGGGTGAGAGGCATTCGTCAGTCAGATTAATGTGGAAGGAAGGGTAAGGATCAGGTAGGAGGCGCTTTTCACAGTTAAGATGTGAATGAAAATCTGGATTCGGATGATCATGGGAAGGAGAAAGGGATACATATGAAACATTTTAGTAGTAGGATTGACAAACCATAGTGACAGAGGACAGCTAAAAGCAAATCCAGACTTTGAGCATAATTAGTTATAGGTATGGCTATTACCACTCTTTACTCAGTAAACATTTTTAAAATTTAAATTAAGATTTTACTCATGTCATATTTTGTACCTTAAAAACTAGGATAAAATAAATTGTTTAGGAGTCACTCGTGGATTTTAGCTTTTCATTTTATACCACAGATTATCTGAAGAGCAGGAGTTGCCAGTTGCCATCTTGGTGTAGGTTATCCATTTGAAGTTTTAGTTTGGGAGACAGGCAGTAGGTGAGTGACAAGTATGGGAGTAAGAGAGCACCTTTTCAAGATGAGTGAAGAAGGCTGCTGTTCCCTGTGCAGTCACACAAGCTAGGGCTGGTCTCTGCCTTCCTGACGTCTGACCCTCACACACAGTGTAAGAGAAAACAGTATAGTTTTGTAAGCAGAATACCCCAGCTGAAGTATGAAATCAGGTAAATTTTGATGTGAGAGCATTTTATTACTCCTTAAAAATTATGTATTTTTAATGTTTTGTTACCTCTTTCACTGTCTTTTGACAGTGTTAGTTTTGGGAAAAGTAGCAATGTATGCTTCTGATAGAATCCTTTTAGTTGGAAAGGATACATAAATTGTATTAATGTCAAAGAATATCTTGATTTCAGGATGCCCCTAAATCGGGTACTAGTTGCAGCTCTCGCTGTTCAAGTTCCAGACAGGATTCTGAGAGCACAAGGCCAGAATCTGAAACAGAAGATGTATTATGGGAAGACTTGTTACATTGTGCAGAATGCCGTTCATCTTGTACCAGTGAGACAGATGTGGAAAATCCTCAGATTAACCCATGTGTGAAAAAAGAATATAGAGACGACCCTTTCCATCAGGTTGGTTTACAGTGTTGAACTATGGGGCAATCAGTTGAGCTCCTTGGAGTGTATGTACAGATTTTATAGTGGTGAAGAAAAACTTGCATTCAATTAAGGTGATGTTACAGCTTTTTCTTTCTCCGTGAGCTGCGGCGTGGCTTCCTTAGAGAGCGCAGTCGCAGTGTTCACATCGCGCTGTCTCTTGCTGGCCTACAGAGCTCGTGAGTTGCGTGAGTTGCCTTGTGCTGCGGGCATGCTGGTCCCCTTCCCAGTAGTCGTCATTGTCACCGAATAATGAATAGCTTCAGGGTTCTTGTTTGGCCAAAGTCTAGGTTAGGTTTGCAGGATCCTTCCTGCCTACCATAAAGGTAGAAAATTACCATAAAGATAAAGAAACACTGACCTTTTGAATTAGTGTATTTTGGTCACAATATCCCCAAATTTGTAGTTTCATTGTTTATTTTCTTTTTAAAAAGGAAAAAACATTTCTGCCAGTAAGAGAAGTTCCTTCTGTAGTCATGGCTTAGGTACGTGCCATGTGACATTTATTTTTTAGTAGGTAAGGCCAGATTTTAATGACTACATGTCCATAGTTGGAAACACCAGTAAAGCAGTTGTCATGGTGAATTTATTAGAAATAAAACATGGTCTCCATTGAAGTGCTAAACTCTTCAGGCAGTTCTGAATGAACAAGGGGCAAACCAGTTGAGACATAGACACGTAATCACTAAGAGTTCCAGATTTTAGTTTGAAAACATTATTAAGGCCCTGTATGGTAAAATTATAAGATCTGAGTATTTGCTGTGATGTTTTCCCTGAGCCTTTAAAAGAAAAACTAGGTTTTCCGATGACGTGACTTTGCACACACGGTAGGCTGTGCCAGTCCCAACGAGTGGCTTTCGGTGTACATTTGACGCGCACACTCACGACAGACACAGGCTTCTTTCAATGAATTCTTCACGTTTGCCAGTTTCTAATTGTCATCTTCTCTTTTGCTTACTGGCTCTTTGCAATTAAAAAAGAATACTAAACGCTGTTAGACTAATGGGAAGGTAACAAAGTTAAGTACTTGGAAGGACAGTAAAGAAATTGTTCCTTTCCCATTTCTATCACTAGCTTGACCTTGTTGGTATTGATTTGTTTTTCTTCGTGTAACTGGGAAGACCTTTAGTTCTTGTTACAAACTGAGATCGGAGGAGAAAAGTTGTCTGTAAAGCCGTGGTTAAAACCTGTACCTCCCATATTCCACACTCTTTCCATTCAGGCTCCTGTTCTTCTTTCTAGCCTTTTGGTTCCATTATTTTGCTCCTATAATTAAATTTTCAGAGAAGTTGGATACATACTGTATGTTGATGCAAATTATTTCTGTCCCAAATTGGAATATTTTGTTTGAAGATAAGTTATATTATGAAATACCATTTGAAGGGATCAATAATTAATCACTAGTATCTGTTAGCTCTAAAGGCCCTCAAATAGTGAAGTATATACCTTAAAATCTTACACCTTTGGAAAAGATAGAAAGTTCCTACCTGTTTTCTCACATTTTGTTATTAGACAACTTCAATTAAAATGAGCCAGTGCAACTTTATTCTCCCAGAGGAAAAATTCTATTCCTTAAATTTACAGAAATATTTGCCGAATTTTAATCACATCGTGTCCTCCAATAAAACATTGCATAAAATCCTTCAATTCATTGTTAAAAGTTCTTTTAATGAAATGTAAAATTTTAGTGTTAGAAAATCAAAGATCCATTGACTGTTTTCCTGTGAATGACATACCTATTCTTTCTTATAAAATGTGGGAAAGAAGTATAGTAGTCCTTAAAAATTATACGTTAGACGTACTGTGATGTAAGTCCATTCTATTCTGAGTGTGATCTTTTAGTGATACTTTTCCTCTAAAGTTCCGATTATGTAAAGGTTACTATTTCATTAATTCTCTTCTACCTTTAACCCAACTGTTTATTCTCTTTTTAAGTTTCATTTTCTTACTGATTGAGCTGAAACAAAACAAAAACAAATTTGAGCATCTGATCCTTAATACTAAGGATTTAGTACTAAAGTTTTCAATCTTCCCCTTTACTCTTTTATTCCTTGAAACATGGAGAGACACTTTATCCCTACTTCAGAGAATGCTTCTAGTTCTGTGTGCTTCAGCTTACAGTGTTTGCTCTATCTGGGGAAAAAGGCTGAGCTGACACTTCGGAGAAATTCTAGATTAAAATATCATAAATGTAATTGAATCAGATATTTAAGGTAAGTATAAGGAAGAATTTTTTCACAGTGAGACTGTATCACTATGTAGGCTTTCAGAGGCTCACATCTCTTTGGCCATGCTCTTTCGTGTGGCCTGATCATTAGTTGCGCAGTGACCAATATGGACAGTTCGACTTCCTTTGTCTTTCACGGTGACTATTTTGAAGCCATACAGATTGACAGCTGAGTACTTTCACTGACACATTTTAGTATATTTTTGAATGCCATGTTGCCTAATACCTACTGCATAAAAGTTCTGCATTTTTAAACTCTACTTCTTATGCCGTTTATCTAACACATACATTAATTTTGTTAGAATTTACTGTAGTTGAAACGGTGTATAGCTATAGCCACTGTACAGGTATGTGTGCTCCGTTAATGCGGTAAATGTACGTACAAGTAGTTAAGTGTGTGGCTGTATGTTTAGGTTCATATGTATGCTTTATTATGAAATGTGCAGGTCGATTCACCAGTTTTGTTGATTTCTTCGTAGAGTCACTTGCCCTGGCTCCACAGCTCTCACCCCGGATTGGAAAAGATAAGCGCGATTGTGTGGGAAGGCAACGACTGCAAAAAAGCGGACATGTCTGTGCTTGAGATCAGCGGGATGATAATGAACAGAGTGAGTTGTAGATTGTATTGTTTCAGGGCAAGTGTAAAGTCGGTGGCTGCCAGCATGGAGCACAGTCACTGCAGCATCGAGTCAGTGCCCTGCTCTCCTCGTGTCCTCACTCGGGAGAACCCTTGTATGCGTCTGTCTCTGTCGGCAGTTTAAACAGCGATCCTTTGCCAAGCCGCCGTGGGCTCTTAGTACTTTCACTCCTCTGACCAAGAATAGATAATGCAGTTACAGTTTTCCTCTTTTGTGTGATTCTCTTTCTTGCTTTCAGTGGATACTGAAACGAGAAACTGCTAGATACGTACAGGTGTTGAAGAAGACTTGCTTTTCTGTATCACCTTTAATACTTCATTTATTTATTAGAACCCAAAACTTAAAAAAAAAAACAGAAAATTTGTCTTTGTACTGAATTGCTTACTTAAGTATATAGAAATAACGCAGAGAGTGTTATAAATCTTGAGTAGTACAAAGTAGAGTATAAATACTGTGGATTTTAATTTTAATTTCCATTAAATTTTTTCCTTTATCAGATGATTGCTATTTAACAAATTTCCTGATTTTGGATAACTAGGCATGGTCTAACCTACAATTTTAACTTTACTTGGTGCACTGTTATGTTAGAATTTTTATCTTTACTTTTTATAGACTACATATTAAAATAAGTAGATCTTGAAGTTAATATGTACCCTTTACATATCTCAGTCTGACAGTTAAAACCAGTAAGTTAGAGTCTCTGGAAACTTGGATCTGGTGGTGCTCTGAAGCTTAATGATCTGTGAATTAGAAGATAACTTAGAAGAATAGTCTCATTTACCTAAAGTATATGAGAAAAAGTTAGCTAAGATCCCCTTTCTATTCTACAGTATAGGTGGGTATAAGATCTCCTTCTGCTGATTCTGAAGTATTTGTGAATACTCTTAACCTGTAAAATAATGAAATGCATAGAATTCTTTCTCACAGTCTGAGTAAGACTGAGATAGAAAATGGTTTTGCATCTACATAAATTAAAATCCAGTAAGGAATTATTTTTGTCTTTTGTTTTTGAGACAGGGTCTCGCTATGCAGTTCAGGCTGGCCTTGAGCTTATAGCCCAGGCTGGTCTCGAACTCGCAACGATCCTCCTGCCTCAGCCTCCTCAGTGCTGGGATTACAGGCGTGCACCATCATGCCCGGCCCCCAGTAAAGAATTATTTTAAAAACTAAAGAAATAAGTGATGTATAATTTATGTGTGATAGGCTCTTAAATTTCACTGTATAGTAAAATAGTTTCTAACAAAATGATTTTCTGTTTCTATAAACAAAATAAGGCTCAATAGGAATTAATTTTAATTTCTATAAAACAGTGTGTGCCTTTCTTTTTCTTCTGCCCACTCGCTCAAGGTGAACAGCCATATACCAGGAATAGGATACCAGATTTTTGGAAATGCAATCTCTCTAATCCTGGGCTTAACACCATTTGTTTTCCGGCTCTCTCAAGCCACAGACTTGGAACAACTTACAGCACATTCTGCTTCCGAACTTTATGTGATTGCGTTTGGTTCTAATGAAGACGTCATGGTTCTCTCTATGGTTATAATAAGTTTTGTGGTTCGTGTGTCTCTTGTATGGATTTTCTTTTTTTTGCTCTGTGTAGCAGAAAGAACTTACAAACAGGTGAGTATAATATAAGCTTCTAAATAGAGTATTTTATCTTTTTCATAATGTTCAAAGTATTCCTGAAGTATTCTAGTATTTCACTAAATCATTTTGACCTAATTACTTTATTTTACTTTTATAGTACTTAACCAAATAAAATCATAACAATCCATTTTTTGTTGATTTTTGTTTTTCTGTGGTAATCTACTTAAAAATTAATCCCCATCTTAATCTTTTTTAGCGATTGCTTTTTGCAAAACTCTTTGGACATTTAACATCTGCAAGGAGGGCTCGAAAATCTGAGGTTCCTCATTTCCGGTTGAAGAAAGTACAGAATATAAAAATGTGGCTATCTCTCCGTTCCTATCTTAAGGTAGAATGGTAGTGATACAAGTATTCCTGAATGCTGGCTTCCTCTGATAGTTCCGGTTTCTTTGCCAATACATGTGTCTGCAGATGTAGTCACCAGTTTGTCCTGCAAACGCTGGGTTAAGGGTTTTGCTTCTCCTTAGAATGGTTATTGTAAACCAGCAGAGGGAGCCCGCTACTTAGAAAAGAATCTCAAAAATTTTGTAACTAATGAGTCTCCTCACTGACGTGAGCTATTACTATTTTTAAATTTTAACCTGCAATTCCTAGTCATTCTTTCCATGCTATTCTCTTCTTTAATCTTTTTAACAGTTTTCCTCTTTATGGAAGTAAGATATGGAAATGAGTAGAAAAACAGAGACATCTGAATTAGTTTCAGCAATACTTTGGTTTTCTGGGATTTTTGGTTTGGAGGTTAAACAGCAGTGAATCTTATATACCAGTGAACCTTATTACATTTAGTCAGGAAGACGGAAGGATATTTTGTTCAAAATATTCTATGCATTATTAAAATTGACCCCAAGACCAAGTATCTTCTGAAGTACCTAGATCTTTAATTTTTTTAGTAACAACAAAAGAAATTTTTAAAATTTGCACTGTTTACCCTTATGTTTAAAAATGTACTGTTGTGTTTATTTATTTAACTTGCTAAATCCCGTTCTTTTAGTCTTCCTTGGGAAATGTTGCAAATGGGCTTAGACTGCTGCTTCTCACTGTGACTTTTCTGCTGTGCAAGGGATGAACTGATCTTTGTTGCTTGGGTTAGTGGGGATCCGTTCAACATGTCCTCTCTTTATCATCCCTACGTTGGTACTGAGTTCTGTTCACTGATGATTTCATTCAACAAGCATTCAACAGGCGTGTTAACCATCTGCTACTACTATTGGTTAGGTCAGGAATTAGAATGCTCAGGAGCTTCCACTTGGGCAAGGACGTGTGTAAACCCAGGACCCGGGACTTATTCTTGGTAGTTACCCTCTCTGGATTTCCAGCGTCCATTTTATCAGCAGTTCCTAGCCTTTCTGCTTCCAGATTGTATTGAATCTATTTATAGTTGTTTCCATTTCTCCAGCCGTAATTGAAACTTGCCGTCGTCTTCTGTGATAGGCTTCTTCAGGTGCCTCTTAACTAGCCCTCCAGCTTTCACATTTCCTTTCTCCAGTGTTTTCTTTAGTCTCCTGAAAACGTGGATTGACTGTACAAATCTTAAACTTTTAAAAAGTTGTCCACTGCCCTTAGAGTAAACGATAAAACCTTAGTGTGATTTGTAATGTTCTTCATGATCCAGGCCCTACTTCACCCAGGTATCTCTTTTGGCTCATTTTGAAACACTTCCCTCTCTCATCTTCCAGACTGCTTCAGTTCTTTAAGTGCACTGTGATCCTTCAGCTTTATTGTGCATGCTTTTCTTTCTTCCTGCAATATTGCCACATGCTGCCCTGCCCCTGCCCCTGCCCCTGAGTTTGTGTGAATATCACTTAATGTGGGAGATCTTCCGGGCCAGTATTCCGAACTCCATCCTAGTTCAGTTTCCCCGACAATTATCTCAAGGCATCCTCACTGTACTTTTCCTTCCTACCACCCACCCGATGTACTGTGTCTGTGATTATGACTTGGATGTCATGCTTCCCTACTGGTACCTGTGAAGTTAGAGAGTTTGTCTGTTTTGTTCTCTGTTCTATTTCTTGTACCTAGCGCACTGTTCAGTTTTGAGTGTGTGCTTAAGAAACTGTTGTTGAATAAGTGATAATATTGTTTAAAAAGAAATATTTGAATGTTATGCTATAGATTCTGCTTTACAGACTTTTATGTTTCAAATTGTCAGGAAATATTAGCACTTTAAAAATTCATTTGATAAGTTAGGCATATTTGCAACATTGTAAGTTTTAACCAACCTACAGTGATGGATCAACACCTTAGTTGAAAGCATGGACATTAGCTGCTAACTAACGTATGTAAAAGTGTTTTCCCTTTTTCCCCTCTAGCGTCGTGGTCCACAGAGATCCGTTGATGTCATAGTTTCATCTGCCTTCCTGTTGACTATCTCAGTTGTATTTATCTGTTGTGCTCAGGTGAGTTAACTTGCTACAAATTGCAATTAATTCATCAGCTATATTAAGTTTTGGAAGGCTTTTAAGAAAATATAATAATATAATTAAACCTACTTGGACAAGCAAGTTTTGAAATTGACCTTTTGCACTTTATTTTTTTCCGTAGAATAGGGAAATGCATCTTACTCACGTCTGTGTTGTGAACATATGCTCCAGTGTCTGAGTGAACATGTATAGTAATTCATTTTTGTCTAGAATCCATCGGATTGTCTTTATATCCCAAAGCAAACACGAACCAGTAGAGTTTTCAAATCGTTCCACCAATGTCTGGTTAATTCATGCTTAATACTAAGTTTTAAAATTTCTTATCTCTGAGTCTCTAATTTGACTGGCACATCCCTGAAAAAGAATTTTCAGGGGTTAAACTTAGAAAATGCAGAAGTTCCTCGGGTCACTGTGTGCTGTGAAGTGCACTGCAGACTTGTGCTTCCATAGTGAGAGATTACCTGAGAGTTCTGCTTCCACACACTGGCCGGTGCTAGTAAGGAAGAGCCCAGCTTATCTGTGTATGTACTGCGTGCACATGGGAGTTCATAGGACAGTAATGAAGATGAACATGAAAAGCAGGCAGTTAGTGCATGCAGTGTCTCACGGTGGCCCTGAGGTAAAAGGGTGCTGGTACCCGAGGGCCTTGAATTTCATGTCTAGGTGAGGGACTGAGGCCTTGACCTGCAGACCTCCCTCCACATGTACCTTCAGGGCCTAAGCCTCCATGGAAACATAGGAAGAAAACCAGCGTGGCCATTAAACTGGTCCTAGGCCAATGGACACCAGGCAGCAACAAAACCGAGACCATTTGGGGATAAGACTTCCTCTGCACCTCACAGGCTTTCCGTAGATACAGTCGTGCCGGGTTTAAAACCCTGAAGAAAAGAATTCAAAGTGAGTCATTGGATCAATAAATAAGCAGGGTTAGATTTCCTAGACTAATCAGATAAAAACTGTAAGTTTGTTTAAAGTGATTAAAGACATAGATAATGCTGTGAGAAAAGAACACAGAGAGAGATCTAAAAAAGCCCCAAGCCACTTCAGAGAAGTTAAAAATACAGTCATTGGCCTTCAACACAGTGAACCAACTACTTGAGACGAGTTCAAGCTCAAGGTCAGCCTGGGCAACATAGAGACTCTGTCTCAAAAACAACAAATAATAACCATGAACAAATAAATCATTGTCTGTGAAAGATATGCAAATGGTGTGATAAACGCTATTAAAAGTATTGCATTGATTCCTGAAACCAAAATAAATAAAAAGAATAACTGTATAAAAATACTGCAATATTTTTATAAGATCAAGATCAACAAAAATAGATACAACATCAAAGTTAAATCAATTTTGTTTCTATATAGGGATTGGTAAACTGCTATCCATAAACAAGGGAAGGTAGCATTTTAGACCTTTCCTGACATCTAACATGCTCTGAAATACATTCTTCTTCTTTTCTTCTTTCTCTTTTTCCTTTAAAAAAAAGTACACAATTATTCTTTGCTCCAGGGCCAAAAAAAAAAAAAAAAACCTAAAGCTAGATATAGCAAGTGAGTCGTCCTTTACTGAGCTCTTCCATATACAAAAGCTGAATATGTCATTTTCAAGGAAGAAAAAAATACAAGGTTCTTATGAATAAATCTAACAAAAGATGTTTAGGACCCTACAGAGAAATATAATTAAAACTTTATTAAAAGTTCTGAAAGAAGACAGCCTATGTTTGTAGATCAGGAAACTCAAATCCAAAACTTTCTAAAATTTATCTGGAAGCACAAAGAGACAAGAATAATCCAGATAGTTTTAAGGACCCAGAAATAGAAAAGACCTACAAGACTAACTTAGAGTTATGGCAGACTGTGACTTCTGCACAGGTATACTGTGACCAGTGGGACGAAGTGGGGTTGTAGCAACCCTCACATGATATGGGATAAAGTGGCACTACAAATCAGAGCAAGAAAGCTTTACAGCTTTCTACTGCGGAGAAACGAGATAAGATTGGAATGGAATGAAAGGACTTCACACTATACATAAAAGTACATTTCATGTGGCTTAAAGATCCCAGTGTGAAAAACAATTTTAATTTGAACACATGTAAAAATTAAAATTTTAAGAACCACCAGAGATAACCGTAAAGAACAAACCAGAATTTGGAGAAAGATTTTAGAAAAATACATGTTTTAAATAGAACCATTATGTAGAATATGTAAGTAATTTTTAATAATAAAGTCGACTTAATAGTAAGAAAGACAACACTGACTATAAAAAGATAACTCTCACACAAGGGACCCAGTGACCAAACCTGTGAGACACACTTGTCTTCCCTAAGTGTAGGGGAGTAACATTAAAATAGTGAGAGAACACTCTACACACCAGACTGGCAGATCTTCAGAAGTTGGATAATAATACCTGTAGGCAAAAACAAAGGCAAGTCATTCAAAACATTGTCGAGAGTATAAACTGGTGGGACTGTTTCAGAGACGAATTTGTAATATGTAGTAAAGTGGACGATAGGACATTACGGTTTTACTCTTGGGTGTTCACTCCTAGCGAAGATCTCCCAGGTGTGTGTATGCTTATTATTGCTGCATTCATTTCAATGTGGAAAATAGGCAGCAATATAAATGTTAATTGGTAGAGTAGGTCAATAAATTCTGGTGTATCGCATAGCCAGAGTGAAAACAGACTTCATTCTATAAGACCTCTTTTAGCAGTCAGAATAAACACATTTAGAGCTAAGTTTGGAAGTGTGGGTAAATTCTGCAGACGAGGTTCAGTGGCATAAAAAGAAAGTTGCAGCATGTTGACAAAGAATGTAATACTCATGAGTACCGCTTAAGGGTATATATGAGTTTAAAAACGTACATGGGAAAGGTAAGCCCAAAGTTTGCTACCTCAGGGTGGGGCCAGAGCTTGTGAGTCAGAGGTCAGGGCCACAGAAGAAGTTGAAAGTGGTTTAACTGAACATGTGACTTTTTTTTCTTCTTTCTTTTCTTTTTTTTTTTCACTGCTGATTTCTATTGGTCTATTGAAAGGAACAGTTAATACTTAAATTTTTTTTTTACCAATATTGCATGCTTACATCTGGTAATCTGAACAACTAATTTGAAGACATTTTATTTTTTAAAAATCTATCTGAAACAAATACTGCAAAATACTAAGATCTGACAAAACTCGGCCCACGGCAGTTGAGTACATTATTCTGTACACTTCTGCTGTTACGTTTCATAATGAATATGGAACATTTTCAAAATGCGGCATTACATTTATGAACAGTCTGTATAAAGCATGTTTTTTCTTTTCCAGTGCAGTTGTTTGAATTGTACGACTGCTTCATGGTGCCTTTTTTTCCTACATTTTCAGCTGCTTCACGTGCATGAGATCTTCCTCGATTGCCACTACAACTGGGAACTGGTGATCTGGTGCATCTCCTTAACACTCTTTCTCTTACGATTCGTTACCCTGGGGTCAGAAACAAGTAAGAAGTACAGCAATACCTCAATATTACTTACTGAGCAGGTGAGCTCACTGTGCTGTAAGTCGATCTCTGAGTCCACATATTAAGTTAAAATATTTTCACTTCATGTTTTCAGGATCATATTTAATCGAGGGCATTTGTGCTGTAAGATTTGGTAGGACATAAGCCTTTCTTCGGCACTTCCGCCTTCAGATTTCTCGTCTCGTGCTTTTATGTCCCATTTTCATTTGACAAGAAGGGAGTGTTGTGTATAGAAATAGTGGTTTGCCCTGGTCACACTGAATGAAGAGGAAATGTCTTAGGCCATTTGTAATATAGTTGATAGATAGGTAAGAAAACTTCCTTTCCAAACTATTTGTGTTCTACTTTTAGAAGGGCAAGTGGCTTGCAGTGCAAGCCTCAGGATAGTCACACCTGCATAGGACAGGTTTGCTTTTCCGAGTAACAGAGCGATAGTCAGACAACTATGAATCCTTGTGCGGTGTAAAGGGCAAAGCATAAAGATTTTGCTATCTCATTTTACTTTGTATGAATTAAACATTTTCCTTACTGTTTCTATAAAGAAACTTGCTGCCAGTGAACTTATTTAGATATTTTAGTAATAATTTGATTTTGAAGACTCAGTAGCCCTGTCCAGTGAGCTAAATTAAGGGGCAAGGGGAGAGTAGCCAGCAAAGGCAAGGGTCTCTGAGAACGTGTACTGCAGCCTCTGCCCACACCCACTGCCCAGTGCCTCTGCAGGCTCGAGGCCTCGCAGCTTTAGCTCCCATTGGGCTTTCGTTTGCCTCGGTCTGCATTCTACCCTGATCTTACTAGCTTCCCAGCTCATGCAGCTGTGCTGTCCGGCAGACGTGTTAGTCCCACCGGTCATGACTGACAAGCTGGGTGGTGTTGGGGCTGTGGCTGCAGGTTTGGGGGGTGAGGAGGTGGGACTGAGTGGGTGAGCAGCTGCCGCAGGTGCTGCTTCCACAAGCTTGGGCCTAGCGCGTTTCCAGAGACAGGAGCTGTGCCCAGGGCGGCACCCCAGAATTGTCTGTTACAGGGTGGGTAATTTAAAATGCACATTTTTTTAATTTACTAAAGAAGTCACAAACGAATTTAGTGTATTGTAATTTTTTTAAGTAGATTTGCCTATGGGACTTGGATTTGATTACATTTGAAAAATATTTAACAGTTACTGTTTTTCTTATTACAAAATTAGTTTATTACAGGAGATTTGGAATGTATAGTAAAGGATAAAAAGAATATTAAAATCCTATATACTATCAGTGCCCAGATGATCACTGTTAATATTTTGCCGAATATCTTTCAGGCCTTTTGCAAATGCATATTTGTGAGCTGCAGATGTAGCTCAGTAGTAGGGCACTCGCTTTGCATGCATGAGGGTCTGGGTTCTGTTCCCAGCAGGAAAGGAAGGAACCAGTGGAGGGAAGAATGGAAGAATATTTTTTATCATTCTAAATCTTTTTTACATTTTTAAAATAAAAGATAAACCTCTACTTGAAAATGGAGAAGAAACCTAACAAAAAGGAGGAGCTGACACTAGTGAATAATGTTTTAAAACTGGCTACTAAACTACTAAAGGTAAGAATAAATTGCAAATGGATACTATAGAATGTATTATTCTGTCGTTATATCTTAGACTCCGTAGGTCCTATTTGTTTTTTTTTGTTTTTTTTTTTTGTTTTTTTTTTTTTTTTGGTTTTTCTCCGGTACCGGGAACCGAACTCATGACCTTGTGCTTGCCAGGCAGGCGCTTTGCCGCTGAGCTAAATCCCCAGCCCCTCGTAGGTCCTATTTGTATTTGTTTTTCATGATTATACAAATTGTTTCCAAGTTATATTTGAGTATACATATGGTGTTTTAATTTGACATCTCACTAATAATGAGATATCAAATTAATATTATAATAATATTTAATAATTGTATTAATAATTATATAATATTAATGATTATAGCAATAATTAATAATCTAAATAATTTATTTGCGAAATGTATATTGAGACCATCACTGATGCTTAGAGGGCTATAGAGGTACTTTATGCCTCTGGAAATTCATGCCTCCTGGACCACAATGAAACACATTTTAAGATTTGTCATTAAATTGGGAAATTTTATGTTTCTCAAATCATCTTTCTGCTTGGCCTGAGTTAAGCAGCAGTAATACATAGTCATCATAATAAATATATATTATCAAAAACAATTTATAAATCATTTTTGGTAATCAAGTGAAATATATTTGATGTCATAATAACTGGGAAAATTCACAAGTTTTCAGAGAGTAGTATGAAATTATTTGTGTCTCAGTAGTATGGTTAATTCTCCTGTCAGCCAAAATATACTAGTTAGGTATGGAAGGTATGCCTCACAGTGGTTTAGCCATTGAGAGGGTTCAGAAGAGGTGAGTGGAAGGGTAATAAAACAGTAATTACAAATCACTTTCTTTTTCAAGTTACTTTAAGTATCCTTAAAGGAAGATGAAAATAATATAGGCAGACTGCATTTTTGCCCCGTTGCTCTGTGAAGAACTATCTGAAATTGAATTGAGAGTTGCGTGCTTGCTTGCTGCCTGTCTGTTGGCATCGTCAGAGTGTAGGCACTGAGGTAGACAGGAGGGAGCGCAAAAGTGAGATGTAGTGAGCAGCTGCAATCTCAGAGTGGAGAGAAATATAAAAATAGCTAAAATACAGGGTACAGCACGGGATCGCATAATGCTGTTTGGTCACACGTAGTCCCCTGGCCCGAAGCCTGAGCCTTTGTGTCCGGCGCACTTTCTCCCTCGTCTTGCACGGCTCCATTAGTTCGGCCTTTCAGGCATCTTCTGATTCATCCTCTCTGGCTGTCAGTACCATCCTGTGTGGTGTGTGCCTGTCACAGGAGCTTCTGATGCACAGAACTTCTCTGCCGTTTTCCTAGCTCCGGTGTCACGCTCTTCCCCTGTGTCTGCCGCATTGCCAGCCTGTGATCTGTGTCACACACACGTCTGATAGCCTCCTCTCCTGCTCACATGCCCTAGTGTCATTGTGTCAGCACAGCCTGCCCGACTCTTGCTTCCGTACTTCTTCCCCGCCCCAGCCTCTCAGACTGCCCACAGCAGGTGTGCCACGTGTGCGTCTGCTGGAACACCTGCTTGCTGCACCCTGTTTCAGGACCATCTTTCTGTGGCGAGACTTACGTATTTGAATTGCTGTGTGCTTACTAGCCTGTAAGGTCCTTCAGCTTAAAATAAGTAAGGGACTGAATTTTAACTCTGCAGAGTCTAGCACAGGACCTGCCATTAATAGAACTTTAAAGTTGTGAATCAAAGTTCTGTATATATGAAAATTAATTGAATCAATAGTAATATATATTGTCAAATATATATTTGACAATAGTAATACATACTGTCAAAAAACTGGGCTAACTTCTAATTCTTCTGCAAAAAGGTAATGTTCTCCTTCAGTTTGTATTTCAGCTTTTCTATAAAAATCCCTAACCGAGCCACTAAACCAAATACTTATAAATCATTTGGGATATAAAATGGAGCTACAGATTTAATTATAAACTTACTTCAGTGGAAGTCACTTTTTCTTAAAAACATAAGAAGTATTAAAATGTACTTATTTAAGTTTATCCTTCCTAAAAACGTACATAATTCATAACTTCCTTAAAACAATGTCTTTCTAATGCTCATTGTAGATTGCCCTAAATTAGTAATTGATAACTTTTACTGGCTGTGAGGCTAATGGTTGTTTTTGCTTTTTTGTTTGTTTGGTTTTGGGTTTGTGGGTTGTTTTGTTTTGTTTTTTCCATTTTTGTCTTCTGCTAGGAATTGGACAGCCCGTTTAGGTTATATGGGCTTACAATGAATCCGCTGCTTTACAACATCACCCAGGTTGTCATCCTGTCAGCTGTTTCTGGTGTTATCAGTGACTTGCTTGGATTTAATTTAAAGGTAATAAATTTGGTGGTAATTAATTGAAGTGGTTTGTGTTTGGTGTTAATCTCTTAGTACTCTTGCATTTTTGTGACACTTATTTTACTCTGTCATTCTCTTGAAATCTCATGTCCATAGTAATGGAGTCAATTTGATAAGATCGAGTATAATTAGTAAAAATGGTTTTGGATTTAATTTCAGTATATAATTTCAGTATTTGAAGTGGTAATTAATTGAAGTGGTTTGTGTTTGGTGTTAATCTCTTAGTACTCTTGCATTTTTGTGACACTTATTTTACCCTATCATTCTCTTGAAATCTCATGTCCATATATATTCATGGCTTCAAATACTGATAGTACTCTAAACAATTCATTATATAGAATATAGGATTGTCATCTAGGATAAGTGGAAGTATTTATTTTTTTCTCCTATAATTTCGATAAGAAAAGAAAGAAACCTATTTCTCTTGCTGGCAAAAATTATTATTTATGTAGCATGGTATATATCCTCTAGTTTATACACAAGTACCCATTGGTATGATGTAAAAGGATCATACTTCCAACAAGTAGAGTGTTTTGCCAGTTCCTTGTAAAAGTGTGTTTTGCCAGTTCCTTATAAAAGAAAGTAAGAGAAATCTGACTTTCACTTTTTTTGCATTTAAGATGAGTTCTCCTTAAAAAGAAAAAGATTAAGGAGTTAAAGTATAAAAACCTATACTTGTTTGTGAGTGAAATTCAGAGAACAGTGTATGATGTAATTTAAGTTGCCATATTGAAACTGACTCTAATGACCACTACTGCTATTATTTTTTCTGTAGCTGTGGAAGATTAAATCATAATGATTCAGAGAAAAGAAGATGTAGCCTCTTTTCCAGAATCTGAGTACTGACTAGGCTGCCTTCGGAAAGCAGTCGCTGACTCTGCGCTTCAGGAGTCTCCGCTGGGAATTGAAGTGTTTACATCAGACTCTCTTGTGCAATTCTTATATTTATTTTATTTGTTCACTGTTTTTTTACATTTATTTTAGTCTTTATATTTTATTTTTAAGCATTGATGTTCTTAGTTGTTGAAAGGGTGGTGAAACTGATATCCGGATACTTGAGACCCTGGTTAATTGCTCCTAAATAAGAACCCGTGAAAACAAGCCATTGGGAAGCACCATTTCTCCACCAGTGCCGTGACCTTGCCTTACTTGAGGAGAGCTTCTGTAACTTTGGAACGGTGATTGCACTCAGCTAAATGCAGACTCCATTTTCCTTGGTAAATCAAGATCCAGTCAGGGTTTCTCTTGAAATATTTCAGAGCAATGCCAGGATCTAAACTGACTAAGCTGCAGTTGAAACCCCCTTCAGTATTAATGTATATGGTATTATATAACAGGTGAACAAGTGCTCTTTGATGATAAAACACTTAATGGAGCAATAATTGTAAATGGTTACCATACTGTAAGATATTTTGATAAAAATTAATTAGTAATAATTGTATTTATTTGAAACACTGGGCTGTTTGCACAGCTCCAACTGTGCATGCTCAAAATGTGCACTTTTAAAAATTGTTACTTTTACTGTGTATCTTTCTATAGGGTGTGTTACAGTGTACTGGGGCATGATATGGTATCCTTTTGAGTGAGGTCTGTACTCAGCTCACAAGTGAAGTGCCTATTGATCTTACTGAAGTACATTATGTTTACTCAAGTAAAACAGTTTCCTCTCATGGTACACTATGGTATATGCTGTTCATACCACATTTAAATGAACAACTTAAGAATAAGCTTAAGAACCAATAAAATATTCCTCTGACTGCTAGTTATAAATTTATACCCAAATTTTCAGAAAAGACAGCCTCAGCTTGCAAATTCTGAACTTAATCCGGTGCATCCCCCTCCATCAAACAAGGGCTATTTTAGATGCAGTTCACTGCTCTCCCTTTAATAGTTTGCCAAGTGTCCAATGAGAATTTATCATGGTGGCATGTTAGGTATGTAGGGCAAATATGGTAGTGTCTTACATTGGGCCTTGATTTAAGTTGTTACATTTGTACAATCAAGAGTGTTTTAGGAATTACATGAAACATGATTTTGTGTTGTTTTTCAGCAGAGCATCTGGTTTCTAAAAGAATTTATTTGAAACAATCGAGAATTTTCCTGGTGCAACGTGTATCATATTGAATATACTCATGTTTTTACCATGTTTTATGGAATTTAAAATAATTCATTGTAAATAATGTGTTTGGTTGGTGCAGCTCTAATTCCCGCATCTCAATCTTCAGCTCAGGAGTGCGTGGAGAACAGGGCCAGGCCCTCCCCCTGCTCTTACCACCCCTGCCGGCCAGCCTTGAGTCAGCCTCACTGATTTTCAGTGCATTTCCTTCCTGCCAAGGCAACAGGAAGCGTCTTGTTTATCGGCCTCTGTTCTGATGTGTTTAATAACGACCAAAGTGCATTCTGAGGGTTTTCAAGGAACGTATTCCTCGAGCTTTAAGAACATTCTTAGTTTCTCATGTGAAAAATTAGGCTTTGTCTAATACGTTTTTTCTTCCTCTATTGTCTAATGTTGAGGTTGTTTGTAGGAATTATATTTTATAAACTTTTTCAAAAATAAGGTACATACCTATACAGAACTTAACATTTTGCACAGAGTATATCAAATATATTTTGAGAAAAAAAAGTACGGCATGAGTTCTGTTAGGAATAAAATATGAAACTATTGTATCTCATAAAAAGTTATTTCAGAATGGAAATATTTTTGAGAAAAGTAGCTAAGTATGCTGATTTAGGGAAATGCTTGTTTAGGTCAAAGTTCAGTTTAACTTAGAGCTGGGAATTAAGAGTTATTAATAGTATGTTGAATTATGTGACTAATGTGAGCAACAGTAGAATACTAAAAGCTGTTACTTTAAGCAATTCTCGAATGTTAACAGAACTGTTTCACAGTAGAACATTGACATTGCTGCCTTTAAGAATCCCATGAATGTAAGAAATTGTAGCGTATCACATGATATAGAAAGGGCAGTTCAAAAGGTTGTGGCAGATGTTGTATGTTAACTGTTGTTCTTTGCCACATGTGTTGTATTTGAAAGTTTGAACAGTAAGTTTTAAATAAAACATTCTACGACTGACTTTCTTAAGTCGTTACATTTCTGTGATAATTTTATGTTACAATAGCATAAACTTCAGTTATAACTTAGATTTGGTAGTCATAAAAATAATGTTTTAAAACTCTCCCAACATTTGAGACTTTATTATAAATCCTAGAACGTGAAAGAAACACAGTACCTACAGGGAGTGTTCTAGAACAACAAGGATGTTTACATTTTTAAAAACTTACTGCAGTAAAAGTTACATTGCCAAGAACAACGCAGTGAGTGTTTGAAGTGAGGGGAGATATACTGAGCATGTGTTTTGAGGGGAATTAATGGCAATTTGTCTTTTACTGGAATAAATTCTTAAAATTTAAACATTCCCTATGCTTTTGATGATTGCAGGTGCATAGGCTTTTTATCAGCAGATGCGTGTATGTTATTGGTGTTGGTTGGTTGGTTGGTTTGTATCTGAGTACAGAAAATTGGATATGGCATGAGATGATAAAACTCACTGTAGAAGGATGATGGTGTTTGCCCTGTGAACTCAGCAGGAGAGAGCACGCCCACAGCACATGGTTGTGCACCCTCAGGTCTCGGCTACCTGATTGGTACCAGCATCATCAGAGGGCTTAAATTACCCAGGACTGTCAGGTGCACTTTGAAACTTACTGAGAAGGCCTGAGGACCACAAGTTCAAGCCCAGCCTTGGGGACTTGTCTCAAAAGAATTTTAAAAGGGGCGGGGATGTAGCCCAGTGTGATGTCCCCAAGTTCAGTCCCCTGTACCAGGGCCGGGGTGGGGGGCATGGATGATGATGACAGTGACCTTATTTCAAGCTTGGAATTGGCTCTTCTAGCAACATCCCCGAGTCTGGGTGTCTGCTGCCTCTCGGTCCTGGCATCATGTCATCTGCTCTGCTGGAGAGTGTCCAAGTTGAGCTTCTGCCACACGTGCCTACCAGGATGTTATGGAATCTCCAAATCCCATTTTGGCAGTTTTAAAAATCAGTCTTGATGTGATCCCTACAGTGGCTCTTTCAAACTTCCTTTAACATCCTCAAGCTCCTGGTCTCTCCTCATGTCAACTTCCCGCATTTTCCCTTGGACAGATGGAGATAATTGTTCGTGAATGAATTCTACCACCTTCTCCCCCGTCAGCTCTGTGGAGATGGTGTTGTCTGAAGCCAGCCTCCCCTGGGCTCAGGATTCTGTCTCTGCCAACCTATGTGATGCCACTTCTGTCTGTCGTCCCCTACCGTCCCCTTCAGTCTTTTCCCTTCCCAACTTTCTAAAGCATTCGGTGTCAGTGAGCAAACTGGAGCAGAGGCCATGGGAGAACTGTGAAGGTTTATAGGTTGGGTGGAAACGGGTACTAGGTGGCACATCAGGTGAGAGCTCCCCACGTCAGCTCTTACCTGCTAACGGCAGGAAATTGCTTCTGTGTGTTCACCAAGCTGAGCTGCTTCCCCTGTTTCCTAGGCTGCTTCTCCTCTTCCTTGCTCAGCCAGAGCTGAATGGATCACTTTTGTAGGGTCAGTTCTGTAGAACTGAAAGATTCTCAGAACATGAATTCTGCTGTTTGGGGGAAGATGTGAGGTTAGGAGGTCAGCCTAGGAAATAGGGGAAGCAGACCAACTCACTTTGCTTGCTCAGCCAGAGCTGCATGGGTCAGGAATTGATTCCCCAGAGCAACCAGCTGTCTCATGGGCCTCTATGGGCCCTGTGGGGCCAGTCGGAGAGAACGCTGCCCAGTAGAGACAGATACTGTCCAAAACCGTGACTCACAGACCAGATTCTCTCCGCAGGTTTCACGTTAGGACACAGCGTCAGCAGTAGAAATGCTAGAAGAGCAGAAATCCCGGAGAAGCTATAACTTGAGGGAAAGAGACGAAACTGACTGAAACTGCCCCAAACTGACAGAGGCGGAGAAACTGATGTTTGGGCAGGTGTTGCTGTCAGATTGCCCCAGTCAGCTGGCCTCAGACTGTGGCAGTCCCAAGCTGTATCCTGATTATGACACCAGATGCCCTCGCTTGTTCTGAGGAGGAGCCTTACCACAGGAAGTAGCCAAACTTGAACTCAACCTGAAACAGGTCCTCGCAAATAGCTGGTCAGTCTGAAGCCATTTTTGTTCTCTAATTGGCTTTTCCTTTATGGTGTTTTTTCCCCAAGTGTAGTGCTTGGGAGATTTGTTCTATAGTTTTTGTTGTTTTTTTTTTTTTTTTTCCGGTACCAGAAATCGAACTCACGACCTTGCACTTGCCAGGCAGGCGCTGTGTCGCTGAGCTAAATCCCCAGCCCTGTTCTATAGTTTTAATGTATTTCAGCCTCTTAATGTCTGCAAAACAACAATCTCTGCTGTTTTCCTTACTCCTGCCCTTTTATAAAATGTCAATTAAATGATCTTGGTCATTGGTGCCATGTTTGTATCTCTCAAAATAAGTCCAACTCATATAATTGTTGATCATCTTGGCAGAATTTCAGGAGTTTCTGGATTATAGTTTAATGCTAGTCAAGTTTTGATCAGTCATTTATACCTGGAAATTTACTGAGTTCCCAACCCCGGCAGTAAGGGGAGTGCCTTAAGGCAAGACAGACCCAGTTCACGTCCCTTGAGGTACATACACTGTGCTTGCAAATGCATTTACTGGTTTTACTGGAAAAACAGACTTTAAGCTGACAGCTCTTCTTTCTATTTATACCCTTGCTCTTCCTACCAGCATTGCTGGGTCAGTTTTGTAGGGCTGAAAGATTCTCCGAACATGAATTCTGCTGTTTGGGGAAAGATGTGAGGATAGGAGGTCGGCCTAGGAAATAGGGGAAGCAGCCCAGGCAGTTTGTAATTCCAGTTTTATGGTTTTTCTTTCATCCATTCTATGGATAGCTCTTTAATACGTGCTAGGCACAGAGCTGGTGCTAGGGTTATAGACTTTCACGCATAGTTCTGCCTTTCATTTCTCTTGGAGGCTAAGAGGTGACTCAGTCTTATAAGCAAATGGGGCTGAGCGTGGTGGTGCACACCTGTAATTCCAGCACTTGGGAGGCAGAGGCAGGAGGATCAGTGTGAGTTCAAGGCCAGCCTGGGCTACACAGTGAGCTCAAGGCCAGCCTGAACTGCATAGTGAGACTATGTCTCAGACAAAACAAAAAGCAAATCAGTTTCTGGAGGGTGCATGCTCTACCAGAGTTGCCAGGCTTTATGTCATGTGTGGACAGCTCGGAGTGGCTGGAGGAGATGGTGTGAATGGGGACGCAGTGGACAGTTACACTGGGAAATGACTGTAGAGCTAAGGAATTGGAATTCCGGGGCTGGGGATTTAGCTCAGCGGCACAGCGCCTGCCTGGCAAGCACGAGGTCATGAGTTTGATTGCCGGTACCGGAGGAAAACGAAAAAAAAAAAAAAAAAAAAAAAGATTTGGAATTCCACCTCCCAGATGAGGTCTAGCACAGGGGCCTGGAATGTCCCATTTGCTTGTTGAGTGCCTCACCGCAGTGTCACATTCTTCTCTAGCATCTTCAGCAGATGGTTTCACACTGAGAATCTTTTTAATTTAACATTTAGCGCGTGTGCTGTGGCTTGGCTAAGTCTCTTGCGGAGGCCTGTGTGCTAAAGGCTTGGTTTGACACTATTGAGGTCTTTGCAGGTGGGGCCTTGTGAAAGGACCCAATGTGTTGGAGGCGTGTCCTGGAAGGGGATAGGAGGCTCTGGCCCTTCCTGTTCGTCTCTGCCTCCTGACTGCGTGGGGTGAGTAGTTAGTTCGCCACACTCTCACCGCTAGGACGAGCTGCCTTGTCACAGGCTGTGCAGCCAGCTGACCACTGAACCTCTGAAACCATGAGCAAAATATCCTTCTTCCTTTTTTTTTTTTTCCCCTGGTACCAGGGATCAAACTCACAACCTTGCACTTGCCAGGCAAGCGTTATGCCTCAGCTAAATCTCCAGCCCCTTCCCTGTCTTCCTTTTAAGATGTTTATCGCAGGTAATTTGTCATAGTCATGGAAACCTGACTTACACAACATGTTAAGGAGTCCGTTCCTCAACCATGTTGAGGTCAGTCCATCTGACCTCAGATACATTGTCCACATTTGAAAGGTGGAGGTAATTTATTATTGTTTGCAAAGCAATCTCGTTTGTAAACACTTGGAGAATAACCTAAGTCTGTGATGAAGATGACAGATGGTCCACAAAGAGGTGGATCTGGGGTTACCCGTGGCATGTGGTGGACCCTGGGCAGGGTCCTCAGCCTCCCCTTCCCGTCTGTGGAGTGAGCTGGAGAGCAGCTGGTGCTGGAGCCTCACGTTGGTGAGTAGGGAACTGGTGAACCGCTGTGTGGTGGGCGCAGGCAGTGTATTTGTCCTAACAGAACTAAGTCTGGCTTTGAGCACCTACTCAAAGGAATACCAAGAATTCAGTGTGACTGTACTCCCTAGACCGACACAGAAACCCCAGGGGTCCGGCTAGGGTGTGTGCAATGCACACGTGCCCACTCCTTGTTCTCGTGGTGTGTGCCCGTGTCCTGGTGTCTTCTGCGACCTGGCCAGCTCCTCAGCAAGAGTGCCCGCGGAGCGGGCCCCAGGCTCCACCTGGTTTCCTCATTGCCGCCCCGCAGGTCCCCTTTGTCAGCGTCACGCTCTCTACAGAGCCTGCAGCTGGGTGCCTTTGTGACAGCTGAAGCCCGTCATTGCCCGGCCCCCTTGGCCACCGCCTCAGTCTCCATTAGTCCGACTCCGGCCCCGGAGCCTCACCGTGGCTCTGTCTTCTGAGACTTGGAAAAACACCTGTCTTCAGGTGAAAGTACTACCTTGGAAGGGGGGATATCGGCTTAGAATAGGACTATGCAACTCTCTTGGGATGGGAGGCAAAGACCGCACTCATTCTTTTATCCTTTCACAGCGTATGCAGTTCAGTGTCTGAGATACAGTAACGCCATGAAAACTATTCACTGTTGGGATTGTGTTTATCGTGCAGTATCCCTTTGGGACATTAGAAAACAATTCAAAGTGATCTCAGTAACTTAAAGAAATTGTCCAACTAGA